CTCCTTAAGCCGAGTAACCAGCTTGTTGATCTGATCCTGCAGAGGTTTGGAATCAGACATCTCCGGAGACTTGATCACCGACTGGAAGAGACTCCAGACGAATGCCGTGTCGGGTGTACCAAAGGCTGTCTTAAGGGCCGCCCACATTTCCTTAGCGGTCTTGAGTTCACCACTAGATCCCTCGAGCAAATGATGCATCGAGCGATCAGTCCGCATAAATAGAACACCCTGAGCACGGGCATTCTGTTTCTTGTACTCTGTGTCGGTAGTTACTGTTGCAATAACAGCGGGCCAGGCCTCTATGAATATTAAATAACCGCGCATAGCGGCAGACCAGTCAGCGTATTGGGACGCTGAAGAGAGCTTAGGGATATTGTCTGGCTTGACGTCACCCATGGTTGCGGATAAGAGGATAAATTCGCCTTGTGTGTCGGGCGAAGAAGGAGGTTCTGGTGTAAATAACTCGAAGGGTAATTCCTCCGGTTCAGGTGTTTGAGATCTCGACTCAGGGAGCGAGATTAAATGTTCAGGTTTTGGAGGTGACTCCGAAAATTCGTTGGCGAATAGGAAATTGTCTTGCCAAGCTTCGACAGCGATACCAGCTTTGAAGCCTCGAGGAAAATCACCAGATGGTGTGTGGTAACGGTTTGGACAATGAGTGTTGTCACAGTTCCACCAGGTTTGATCGTCGTCTCTATAATGAGCGTCGCAAACCTCCTCGTAGTCGTATAGATGGTAGTGGTTTGAACAATCGTATGAGTCGTCTGACTCTTCGCCTGAAGAGACCTGAGTCTCTGCAAATGTCTCCTCTTGAGACGTTGCCACAGTTGTGATGCTTCACTGAAAAATATTCCAGGAACAAAGATAAAATTTGTGACGCGACTACAAATACTTGTCTACCCAAGCCAAGTGATTGCCCTTGTGCAAGTCCCCAACTTCCCTAGTAACCTTAGAAAGGTTCTTGCTAAGCTCCTTGAAGGAGATCTTCCCAATCAGCTCGCAGACAAGCTTGACGTCGTTGAGCGCGTCGTGCGACCACGAATGACCCTCTGTCTCAAAGTGAGAACAGACCCAATTGAACCGACGTCCAAAAGCGTTGAGGTTGTCGGTGAGCGACCAGCGAACAGTGTCGCGCAGCTTGTGGGTGAAGAGAGGGTGAAGGCACTTCTGAACGGCGAAGAGACGCTTCGTGAGGATGGCGGCCTTCTCCGTCTGAGACTTTTTCTTGAAGTCGGCGTCAAACGGCTTAAGGGCTGTGATAGGAAGGGGAAGAGGTACGCCTTCGATGCGTGCGATAAGGGAAGCCTTGGCAGCTTCTTTGGCGGTGGTTTCAGCGGCAAGCGTAGCAGCGTACTCCGCACGTCGAGCTTCAAGGAGTGCCCTAGAGTCGTCTGCCTTCAACTGGAGCTCCTCAAGCTGCTGCTCAAGGGTCTTGCGACAGGACGCCTTCGGGGGACGAGAGGTGTCAGGGCGACGATAGGTGGGACGGCGAGGGCGCGGGGTAGGAGTGAGGATGATATCGATCTGGCGATCAATGGGTAGATGACCGTATAAACGCTGATGACGCTCAGCAACAGCGCTAGTGTCGGCGTCGCCTACGTCGTATCTCTCACGACGAGACGGTGGAAAAACTTCGTAATTGCTCTTGCGAGCTACCCTGGAAATGCGCTTGGACAAGGCTTTGGGCACTTGTCACAGAGCGGCTAAACAGTAGTCCAAATAAGGACAAAATATGCCAACTCACTCTTTCAAGAGTTGGGCTTTGGTTGCGCAAAAGGTACAGGTGATATAAACGATCAGAGCGCGGGGCTCATAACCTGTTGAAGTGAAAGAGGTTTAGAAGGGCTTGTTAGGCCAGTGGAAGTGAAGGACAGTAGAGTGGAGTGAACAGACCTATCCCAGAGGGAAGACTCTGATGCTAGGCAGGCAGAAGAGAGGAGAGATCGTTATCCATTAGGGGGGAATCACCCCAGTATATATACATGTCTGGGACTGATCACATGCTACATCAGTAAGCAGATCAGTAATCACTAAGTCCGAGTTTTAGGGAAATGAGTAAGCCTTAACTCCAGAGATAGGGATATGCATAAGCGTCCATGTGATCAAGGAATGTACTGGAAGGTCATGGAACATGCCGGAAGGGAGTGGAATGATCCAGAATAAGTCTGGAACAGTGTAGATCGGTCTGGAGCGAGTCACAAGATGAGTCCAGACAGAGTCCATCAAAAGAATGTATGTAATACTACATCGCAGAACACAAGTCCATATATGTACGTAACTGATAAGATAAGATAACACTGGAAAGTCGGAAGTTCAACAGGTCTTGTGGGATTTGCGGAGCCGTCGAGCAGACGCGATACAGCGTATAGCTGAAGACATGGCTCATGGACAAATTGGCCACCTCCACTTCCTGTCGCACCAGGCCACCTTGATAATGCTGGCCACGGAACACGAACGTGTCACCATCGGCGCGAACGGCGCTCTTCCCGTAGAGACTGGCGACCTGTTCAGGCCTGAAAGGAGCCTTCGCGTGCCGTTGACGACCCTGCGACCTCGCCTCTGGCCGTTCCTCGACCTGCTTCCCATCCTTCACCTTCTCACTCTGTTCCTCGTCTCGACGCCGAGATCCTTCCACCGATCCTCCCTCCTCTCGCGTCGCATGCTCCTGTCCCCGCTCCGCCGCCTCTCCGCTCTCATCTTCATCCTCGTATCCCTCCTTCGACCCTCCCGGCTGGGGGCCAAGGTCAATGCGCGGCACACACCAGACGACAGCCATTTTGCTGTTATCCACGCATTCCACAAATCCGACGTCGCCCCGATACGGACCGCGTTTGAATGCGACCCACGAGTGTGCAGCGACTCCACGCCATGCCCGAGGGAGTAAACGGACGTAGTCTGCTTTCTCGATAGAGTAGGCGCGATAGCGATAGCCCCGGTCGTGTGCGGCGTCCAGTGCGTGTATCACGGATGCTTGATCTTGAGCCTCGACGTAAAATGAGTCCAACAAACGCCTTGCCTCAAAGGGAGTAGAGGCTGAACGATCGGCGTCGGACGAGGGTAGGAATACGGAGTAGATACCTCCGTTTTGGGGGTTGAACGCTGATTCGCAAATAATCTCGAAGAAGGTGTTTGCATTGCCCATCGTCTGACGTTACTTGAGTACCTGGTAAACCCAAAGACCATGACCACGTACCGTCTCTACGCGCATGATCGTCCCCGTGAAGGTATCAGGCAACAGGTCGGCTTCTTGTAGCCTCGAGACCTCGGCCAAGCCCTCGATTGCGTCAAGCCTCCGACGCGACGCGTATTTCCGAGCCTTCTCCATGAGCTTCCCGATGTCAAACTCTTCCCGGACTCGAGTAGGAACCGGAAGGCGTTGACGAGCCACGGAGTTGGTGTCGTCGCCGTCATCGATGAAGTCTGAGATGTTAGTAAGGTACATATAGTGCTTCGAAGGCCACCGACGACGTACCATTGTCCCTCTCATCGTCATCTTCCTCGTCGTCCTCGTCGTCCTCATCCACCTCTGCCTCGATATCGAGAAACCGATGACCCGCAGGTCGCCTGCGGCGTCGTCTTTTCCGTGGAGGAGAACCATCCCGATCCGCTGCCGATGATGGTTCGTCCCGCTGTGCCACACCCTCAGGAGTTGGTGGATCATGCGGCACCACCGTCAGACCATTAGTTGGTCCGACCACTACCCTGCCCACACGATCCCCATTAGGACCATATGCCGTCGCCCATAGTGCACCAGGGACAAGCTCCTCGGCACGATTCGACGGTATGGCTGCAACCTAAGTCGCCAAATCCAATCAGTGTACGGCCTCTCGATCACGTTGATTAACTTACGAGCCGATCGCCAGACCCCTCTCGATTGTTATCTGACATTGACAATACAGTAAGACGCTTGAAAAGGGACGCGATGTACGAAATGTGTAGTGTGAGGAAGATAACCGGGAGCGGCAGCCACAACCACACCATGAGCACGTGCATACGGAACCGCATTACCATATATGTACCATGATTTCACCGCACGACCACATCGCCCCATGTAGGGCATGAAAGGCGCGTATTGTACGGTATAGGAAGAGTAAACACCACACGAACACATCTACAAATAAATAACGCCCTCATCACGCGGAGACCCACTCAGCCAAGTTTGAAAGAACAGTCTGAACCATCTCACTGTCCAACCGGCCACCCCACCCTCAACTAGAGTGTTCAACATGTTGAAAAGTATGGTGACGGCGGAGACGGCCAACAGGACCATCGGAAGTGACAACCCATCTTTGGCTGAACCAAGACGTTGAGACGCATCGGTCTTTGAGACCTGGCAATACTGCATGAGCTTCTGCACCCTGCAGTGCAAGGAGACTTGCCTTGGGTTCAGCCCACACGAACACCACACCTCCGGATTGTGATCCCGTCGCCGTGACCACCATTGCGCCCTGCTCATTCCTGCCAGTCTATTGACGACATGTCAGTGAATGTCTAACTCCAAGCGCAGCGATTTGACATACCGTAAGAGTTTGAATGGGACCTTCCACTGCGGAGCGTCAGATAAACCGATCATGCAAGCGACTTGGCCACTCACCGTTGGCGTGTCTCAACGTGTCCTGAACTTGCCCGGTCAACGCGTCGAAGATCCGCACCGCACCGCATTCACCGCCCACCACAATCTGCGTTCCTTCGACACTCAGCATGAAGATCTTGTACGGCAACGACATCGTGTACTCGAACGTGTCGGCGTAGTCCAGCGTGGGGAAATGGTAGCGGTCCACTCCATTCACGAGATTCGATACCAGAAAAAACCTCCCATCGGCAGACAAAGTCGCATGGCCGCTAAAACATGATCAGCACAACCCAACCACGCAAGGTAATGATGCTCACATCCTGTTCTTGATCGTCGTCGACCACTTGAGCGTCCAGGGTTCTATCGTATAACACGCTCTGATATCCACCATCAGTTGCAGACTCATATCCTTGAATGATTCTACGCACATTTCATGAGTCTCCAAGAACGTCGCCAGAATGCTTGCGCCGTCGTCGCAGAAATGCACGGTGCGCCCCATGAACGCACGGCGGGGCGCATCCTTCACCATCGTGGATAAAATACCTGGTTTCATGTCAGATACGCATCACAAACGAGCACGACGCACGTACCCCTGTCGTCAATACGCCACACGCATGGGCTACCGTCGCCGATGCTTGCAATGCGACGGTATTTAGAATTGAAGCGGATGTCCTGGACTTGCCTCCCTCGGTGTGCGTCGGTAAGTGACACAAACACGTATTGACCCTACAAATCGTTAACGCATCGTAGAGTAACATAATAATCGGTACTCACACGGATGGGACTCCATTTGTAGACGTGAATTGTACCGTTCGAGCAGCCGTAAGCAAATCCATCGTCCCCTCGCCCCTCGAAGTCAACCCAGCACACCGATCCGATGGCCCCATGAAACACGTCGCATATTTCCTGTTGAAGCTCTCCAGTGACGACGTTCCAAATCATGAGTTTTGCGTCGCCGCCTGTTCAATTGGACTGATAAGCAAGTAGATCACATGCTAATGAGGGATATACTTACCACCAGTAAGAAGCACTTGGCCGTCGGAGCGTAAGCAAACAGCATAGACGGGACCAGTGTGCCCGATGAGCGTGGTGCGTTTTTCAAGCCTTGATCGCTAATCAGCTTGACATACGACACTATAGAAAGACGACGCACATGTTCTTCCGTGTATGTGAAGATGCTTCGCCAGCTCCTAGGGCAGTTTATATACAGGCACATCGTCACCGCGTGTTATCACGGCGTGCAACGATGCACCCTGATTGAGAGGGACAATGAGTGACTCATGGATCGCGTAGGCTGGACAATAGGACTTACGGGACGCGAGTGCGAGCAATTGCTGCGCCGCCAGGGCACCGAGGGCCACAACCGACAACGGGATCCGCGCGATGTTTCCCTGTACGGATGATCAATAAGTGACTCATGGGTCGCGTAGGCTGGACAATAGGACTTACGCAGCGCTAGTGCGAACAGCTACGGCACCACCAGGGCGACACCCGACAGCAGGATTCGCACGACGTTTCCCCTTACGGGTGATCCGACGAGCGCAATAAACAATAGGGCGGGGCAATGAATAGCCCGTTGTACAATAAGATGTGACTCGATGTACCCGGGAACCTCTAAACGAGTTTGTTAACCGCTGTTCAACACCGAGAAGGGATGCGAAACGGACGGTTCTAATCTCTCTAGTCTAGTTTCTATAACCGATACAATAGAAGCGATACGTGCGGTTCATATCTCTAAAGTCTAATATCTATGTAGGCGACAAAACAGATGCGAAACGGATCGTTCAATTCATTACAGAGAGGTGAAACAGATCGTTCAACTCTTTACAGACCGTTAACTACGGAAGCGTCCCTTTCAAACCGTTAACTACGAGAGCATCCCTTTCAAACACTACTTGTATCAGACCGTTTATTAACCCATTGCTACGCTAACTATTGACCGAAGTGTACACTACGTGAGAGGAGGGAGTGGGAGGAAAGAGAGAGAAGAGGCGCCGACACCGCCATATAACGTAGCGGGTGTTTAGGGCAAGCCACATTGGTTTAGGGCAGGTTACCCGGCCCGGCGATCGCCCGTGCCCGCTCGTCCCGATCCGGCCAGTGGATGAGCGCTCGCGGAAGACTGATTAGATAACAAAGCGGAGCATACAAATTCTAGTACTTGTGTAACAGACGTAATAAAGGTCTACAATACAGAGGCTACAAAACCGGCTCCCACTTCACGCACTGCGAACCCGACTTGATCTCAATAGACATCAGAACAGAGCCCGCATTTACGATAGCGTTGATCGTATCCTGACGATTCACGCTCCCTTCAGCCTCCGTGTCGATCGCGCCTTCTTCAACTTCCAGTTGTTCGATCCTGGAGAATGTACGTAGCAGGCTTGGAAGCGTCATCTTCGAAGCAAGTAAGTAAAGTTCATAGCAACAACGATATAACCTCGTACCATGAAGTGTTCGCTGAAAAGATAGTGAGCGTCCTTGACGCCGCTCTGAGAGATTACCAAGCGAGTGAGCGAGTGGTAGGGATCCGGACCTGCAGGGGCAGGCACTGCGCACCACGGGGCAGTGCACTGCCCGACAGCCTGAGGGACTTCGATGGAAACCCACGAGAGGTGTTCCATATCCGCAATTTTCTGAAGGACGTGTTCGACACACGGCTGGAAGGGAAAGCCGTTGCGTACATCGGGAAGGATTCGGAGGTCCGTCAAACGGGACGACGTGCCCCAGGGCGCCGCACCAACCAGATGAACCACGTACGACAACGGGGCCTCTAGGGTCCGCAGACAGCGGAGGACCTGGTGACGAGCGGGTAGCTTGGGAGGTACGAATGTCTTGAGCTCCGAGTCAGAGTCCGCTCCGATGTAGAGGGACTCGAGAGCTGGATGGTTCAGGAGGAAGGTAGAAAGTGACAGCATAGAGAGAGTACCCCCTCGACAGTGAAAACCCGTAGAGAAGGTAGCTTGAAGTGCGAGAGGAGGGAGGACCAAGACGCCTTCTCGGATTGCTTAGAGAGGCTGAGTTCTCTGAGCGCGGAGGCGTTGATCACCTGTAACGTCCACCGAATGGTCTCCTCGTCGAAGAGGACCGGCGCATGAGGCCGGAAGGACTTCAGGTTCGGATAGAGCTGCGCCGGTGTCGCATGCCGCTTCAAAGATTTGAAGGGCCCTACGTTGCGTAACACGTCGTCTTGCTGTATTCGCAGTTCGGAGACACCGGATTCGATGACGCCTTCAAAGAGGGCCCTCCAGCACTCCAGTTTGGCATCGCTGCAGAAGCTGAGGAAGACGGTTTCAACGGCGACGGTTTTGGATCGCATGACGCTAAAGAAGTCGAGAACCGCACGGCATTGCACCTCTGCGCGGTCCGCGATAGGTGAAAACACGAGTAACATGAACGACGGGGGATGGAACTCGAGCCACCTGCATAGGATACAAAGGCCGGTGAACGCATCCTCGTCAGAGAGCGTTAAAACACGTTCCCCGTTCGCCTTGAGACCCTTCCGCTTGAGCAGAATCGGTGTGACGATGACGTGGAGCCGTTTGTTCACGAGAGACAAGGAGTGCAGGTCGTCGTCGTCGAAGAGCGGCTTCGCGACAGCCTGCACAGTTTCCACCGGCAGATGCGCGATGTAATCGCCTGTAATCGAGGCGAGCCTGCCGCCCCTCGGTGCCGCCGATGTCGTTGCGACCGTAAACGAGTGGCCTTGTTCCTGGGTTGAGACCAGTTCAGCGAAGTCGCTCGGCGAATATAACGAAGCACATGCCTCCTCGTCTGTGGCGGAGACTCTGAGGCGTTTAGAAGGACGCTTCGAAAGCGCCTTTACGAACGCCTCTTGCGCAAGATGAATTCTTTGCATCGACACGTCCGAAGGCTGCTCCGTGCCTTCGTCAGCCCTCCGACGCAATACACTCATTCTCGGTACTTACGAGTCTAGTCACCCATGTCTTCGGTCTATATGCTCCCTGGATAGAAGCTTAGCGACGAGGTACGTGTGGTGTTACCTTGACTTACCGGTACCGGTCCGAGGATAGAATCTACCGAATCTTGCAGGTCAAGTCCGAAATGGGGCGGGTTCTCTCCTAGCCCGTCTTGCGTCCTCGGTTTGTATGCTCCCTGGAATGGCTTTCAGTGGATTAATATGTGAGCGGGGTGTCTGGACATACCGGGACGAGGTCGGATACGGTACTCTCCCTGCGCATCAAGGAGGTGCGTACCAAGGAGGAGCTGGCGACGTCGGTATCGGTACTGAGGAGGTTTCCCATAGCGTAGTTTGCGATGCGGGGTAGCGTTTGCGGAGATCTTTGCATCTGCCCAATAGTCTGAGTATATATAATCCTGGCGTGCGTTCACCGTCCATCCGGCCTGTCAGCCCCGACGAAGCACGGACACGTACCGAACAAAAGCAATGAACAAAAGCGTACTCGGCGCATCAGCCGGGGAAACGACGAAGGTCGCTTACCATGGCGCTGCTTCCACATCAGCGACGAGTTGATGCGCCTTCCCTTTTGTTCTTGCTTGGATGGCGTTTACAAGCGGGCCTCGGTGACAACCGTTCCGGAGTCACATTGTTGAGTGATCGGCAGGTCTGGTACGCGCACCGTATGTAGCAGGCTCCGACGACCGCAGCATGCGTCGCGATTCAGAACAATGGACAATAACCGTCAATAGGGAATGTCTGACTCATGATGGGAATGGAGATACTGACCGCCTTTGCAAAGCACTCACTCACTCGTCGCTGTCGTCCCTTCCACTATGGCGCCCCAAACAGTGATGTGCAACTGTTCTACATGCAAGGGTTCTCCCCTCGCGTATAACGAATATCGGCATCACCAGACAGAAGAAAAGCGTCGAGAAGAAGTACGTCGAGAGGAGAAACGTCGCACAGACCAGTTGATTGAGGAGAAGCGCAAAGAAGAAGAGCGTGCAGTGAGTATAGCCCATCCGATAAGGCAAGAGATCGTGCTCACACCATCCCAAAGATCGCCGAGGCCAAATTCGACGCCATGCTTGACGAATTGACGTATATGACGTTGACGGATGACGGGCTTGAGACGGGTAACACCCAGCACAACACAATGTGGGGACGAGGCGTGGACGACTCGCCGTTGAGTATGTTTTCAGCTCTCTAACGCGCTGGCACAATTACTCACCGGCGATTCAGCAACCCGCTCCACGAGCACCATACGCAATAACCCTCCTCCCATCCCCAATCCTGAGCCGCTGCACACACCGCCAGTAGAGCCCTGGCCCGAACTGGCGCTCCTAGACTACGAACTCGACGATCACATCAGGCTCTGCGACGAGGCGTTCTCGAAGGGCCTACAGGCCCCTATGAAGAGCGCTGCCGCGACCGACGCTGTGAAGGCGTTAGATGACGAATTGCATTGGTTCATGGAGGCGCAACGTACCGTGCACTTCCTGGCACAGGGAAGTTCTGACCCAAAAGTCGTACTCCAGCGCGAGGGCATGACCGAACGGCTGGAAACGCAGATCGCGACCGTGGCAGCAATGCTCCGGGAGGTGTCCCTGATTCCGACCCCTACGAGCACAGAAGGTCCTGTCCGTGTAGTTGATACGAGTGAGTGCTCTGGACAATCTGAATGCTGCCCAGCGTACTGACGCGACGTAAAGCGGTGTTGTATGAACATCCGTTGAAGCAATCGAACCCACTTGTGGTAGTCGCGATCTTCCTCGCCCTCGTTCTGCAACTTCTCGGAGGCGTCACGCGCCAAATGTGCAACTTCACGCTTCACGTTCTCAAAATGTTCAGCGAGATGGCCATCGGACTGAATGGACCACCTAGTCCCATGGATCAGAAGGTCCTTAGAGAGTTTCCTACCGACATCCGCACAGTGCGACGGCTGTTCGACCTGGATCCCATCGTTACCGACTGGGCAGCATGCCCCGTCTGCTCCATGACTTACGAGCCTACATACGTGTAGCGTCCCTTAATCCTCGGGCCCGGTATGCGCTGTACCCAGTCTCTATTCAGAGGGACTGTCTACACGTAGCATACATGGGGCGATGAGGATGGTAAAGGACTGAGGTCTCGTAAGTGCGCTGGTGCGCCATACGAGCCCTCGAGCAAACAAGAACAAACATGCAAGATAAGATATACCGTAACGGGAATATCCGTTACACCCTCCCCCACTGGACACGACCACGGGTCCCAGCAATAACCAGAGAAACAAAAAGAAAGAGGAAATGAAAAGGAAAGTACATGCTACCACACAACGGTGGTAGCAATAGGCCAGACCGAGGTGGTGTCATACTGTAGACAACGACAAGCTACTTCGTGTCAGTGAGCAGCATGGCCGTCCACTCTCGTCATACATAACTCAATGGAGTTATGCAGCCCGGAATGATGATAGCAACCCAGGTCGGAGAACTGTGAAGTTCTCCAGATACATCATGGATGATGGTGATGGGACCAGTGAGGGTGGTCGCAACCCGAGCTGTAATGTACTCGCATTCGCCAGCGAGCTCAGCACTCCCTGAGTCCGATGCGCGACCATACTGGATGTGACCAATCGGTGGTGGTATCGGAATGCAGGGTAATGATACTGGCACGAGTACCACGAGGTACTCGCTTCTCGAATCACCGTCAACTTCCTCATCGTGGACGTCGACGGGGAAGCCCAACGTCTGCACGTGGGCTGCAGAACGATCAGGCACATCGGTCGAGCAAGTAAGCTCACCGATTGTACCGCGATGCATCGTCATGCCGGGTGCAGCTCGTAATACATTCCATAGGCCATTGGTACCACCGTCATACGTGGTGACTGCCACGACAACCACGTTGATTGTCGTGATCGTCACAGGTGGTGGTAGTGGGATAGGAGGTGGTGAATGCGCAGCGAGTACCTTGAGGCACTCGTTGTTTGATCCACTGCTAAGCACCTCAGCGTAGATGTCGAGCGAGGAACTCGTCGTCTGCGCGTGAGCTGTGAAGATGTCGGATACATCGGACGAGCAGACTCGCTCGCCGATCGTACCGCAATGCCTAGCCGTGCCGGGAGCAACCTGTAGGTCGCCCCGTGGTCTGCCCGTACCACCATTGTGCACGGTGATTGCCACGACAACCAGTGTGGTTGTCGTGGCCGTCGATAGTGGTGATGACGGTGTAAGGGGTGGCGATATAAGCGGGGGAGGTACGTCCAGTACGGGCGTACTTTTGTCTTCCGAGCACGGAAGCTTGTCTTCCTTGCCTACGCCGTGCCCTTCCCCCTCTCTTCCTTCTGTCTGACCTTCCTCCTCTGCCTCTCCTGCCTCTGCAATCTCCTCCACCTCCACCTCGACCCCGCCCTGATCCTCCGTCCGTCCTGCACTCGATCTTCGGGGTGCGTGCACGAGCTCCGACTCGTGACGCCTCTCGTAGTCGCCACCGATGTCGGGGGCCGCGAAGGAGGTGATGGGGAGTTTGGTAGGGGTCCCTAGGATCGAACCCTCGATGAGAACTGTGAAGTTCTCGTCGGGTTGACGGTCGGACAGCCGTTCTGGTCGGTCGGAGTCCGTAAGCGCCGGCTGCTGCACTGTCGGTAGTGCAGTAGTCGCCTCGCAATCCCGAACTCGCGTGTTCGTTGGGGCTACGCAAGCGTCGGGCTGCGCACTCGCAGAGGCGCCGGGGTCGCGAAGACGGTGGTGACTGCTCAACAAGTCGGGATTGAGGTCCAACACTTCGTCGAGCAGGTCAAGGTCGTATTGCGGGCCTGTCAGTTGAACAGCGAGGTGTTCAGCTGTCTTGACGCTACCGGGGGCTCGCACTTCCGGTTGGGAGTACAATTCTTCCCGGAATGCGGCCGCGCGCGATTGGGGGCTGCTGGATCTGTCGTCGAGGTGAACCCACGACTCTGCCAGCTGAACCAAAGGAGGTTCAGCTGCACTGGGCCAGTCAGGGCCCTGCACTTCCGTGAGGACGTGCAGGCCGTGTTGCGTTGCGGGTGGACGAGCGATATAGCTGCCAGACAAGAAGTCAGGGGCAATCGACGAGGGGTGGTCATAAGCCCCGTGTACGTCTAGCGGCAGGCTAGACGTACGCGCTGCACAACGGACGGTCGACGCTGGATGGGGCATCTCGGACCTGCATCGCTGCTGATCCATCGTGCCGCCTTGCGCATTGAAATGTACGACCTCGCGGTCGTCCTCTAATACTGGCGCGCGGCCTTGCGTATCGGAAAGCACGACCAATAGGTCGTCCGGCAGCGTGAACATGCCGTCCTCTTGGCCAGCCATGCGTACGACGAACTTCACGTTCGTCGCTACGCTTGTTGGTATGGGCGCGGGCAAGGGATGAAGTGTCGAGGTGGGTACGTCCATCTGGGGCGTACCCGCTACTCGACATCCGGTCGTGGGATGGTGAGGCACGTCGGACGTGCAGTACTGCACGTCCGCCATGTCGTATTGCGAGATGAGTGGGACGACCGCGAGGTCGTCCCGCAGCACGGATGCACTGCCGTGCGGGACATTGGGTACGACTTCGCAGTCGTCCCTGGGGGCGGAGGTGCCATCTTCATGGTCCGTAGTGCGCACGACGAACTCCATGTTCGTCGACACGCACGCTGGCGCGGGCACTGACACAGGCGGAGGCGAGTTGAGTACGTCCAGTAAGGGCGTACCTGTATTTTGCGAGCCTTCCTGCTCGCTTTCTCTACTCGCCCCGCACCCTTCCTCCCCTGACCCTTCGTCCGTTCCTCGCACCCTTCTTGTTCCTTCGGGATCTCCTTGCAGCCTCCACTATCCGCGTTCCTCGTGGTCCGCTCGGCCTTGCAGCTCGGCGCTGGGCTTGAACGCGCGGTGTTCAAGTCCTGAGTCGCGCTGCTGGGTAGCATGTCGCCAAAGCCGCGGTAGCGGTCGCCAGAGTGAATGCGCGAACCGAAAGTGGTGAGGTGAGGAGCCGGGGAGGGAGGAAGTGGCGATTTGGTACCGCGAGGTACCAGGTCGTCGGCTGCCACTGACTGGGCTGGCATTAAGTCAACCAGCCAGTTGCGAACGCGAGTTCGCACTCGCGTGGCGGCGCGCGCGTCTGGCTCGCCAGACGGGCGCTCGAGGTGGCTGCCCAGAGAGTGGAAGAGGTCAAGAACGAGGGTTCGGTGGTGGCGGTCGAGTGTAGTGCGGTGGGCGCTAGCGCTCGGGTCGCTCGCCACGGGCTCGTGACACCCAACGCCTGTAGCGTTGAGCGCGTCGCGCGTCGCGTCGAGCAGGCTGCTCGTCGTGGCAGGCACGTCGTCCGATAATAATAATACATTTTTTGTGTCGCGGCTCATCTCTGAGCGCGCGACGGGTGTATCTACACGTACGGGTTCGTCCCCGCTGTACACAGTACTATTATGGTACTGTGTGCCTATGCCCTCCCGAGTGCGGAGATGCGTCGACTCAACGCACCACTCGTTCAGCTCGGATGCGAGCTCGATGACGGACGTGTCGAGCTCGGCGCGTGCATCATCCTTCGGGGTGATGCCTGGCTTCATCGCTTGGGCCGGGGCACCTTGGGATGGTGCCTCCAGGTGGCATTGAGCAGACCCGACGGCGATCTCGGGCTGCTGAGAGCACTGTGCGTACCCGACTTCGCCGTGGCGAATGACGGGTCCCGGTACGGCCTGAAGGTCGTCCCGAGATGTGAGCGTAATGTCATCTCCATGATCACAAGTGATCATGAAGGCGGAGATGAAGAGACGGTGGCCCGACGAGCCGTGGGTGTTGCGCGCGACAGGTTCTTCGTTCACCGTGACGCTCGCTAGCGTGGGCACGGACACGAGCATGGGTGCAGCAGGCGTCGAGGTAAGTACGTCCGCCGAGAGCGTACTTGTACTTCTCGACCCTCTGTGCCAGTGCTTGCCGGTAGCGTGTATATCGAGCCATGAATTCGACGTACCCTCTACGTCGCGACTGTCGTTCGTGACCGAGCAGGGTACGTAGATTGTGGGATGGCGCTCGGTCGTCGTCTCGCTTTGCCAATTGAAGAGTACGACCGCGAGGTCGTACCGTAATGGGAGTGGAGACGGTAGCGAGGAACTCGAACGCTCGGGTACGACCTCAAGGTCGTTCTGGGGCATGATTGTATTGTGTTCGTGGCCAGCGGTGCGCACGACAATCTCCGTGTTCGTCGATACGCACGCTGGCTCAGGCGATGGCAATATAACTGGTGGGGCATTGGGTACGTCCAGTATGGGCGTACCTTCAAGTTTCGAACCCGCTACTCGACAGCTAATGAAAGCTGTCTGGGAAACGTCGGACGTGCAGCACTGCGCGTCCGCCGTGTCGCCTTGCAGATTGGATGGTACGACCGCGAGGTCGTCCCGTATCGCAAGTGTACTGCCTCGAGAAGTGGCGGGTATGACCCTTAGGTCATACATGCCATTGTCGTGGCCTACAGTGCGCACGACGAGGTTGTTGTTCATCGCTACGCCCGTTCGCGAGGGTACTGACGATAGCATATGCGGAGAGTTGAATACGTCCAGCATGGACGTATCTTCGAGGTCACGGTCTGAGTCTGCTACCCGATGGCGGGTGGAGGCTGTACGGGGCACGTCGGACATGTATTGTGGCGTGTCCGCCGTGTCACCTTGTAGCATAGACGGTACGACCGTGAGGTCGTCCCGTAGTGCCAGTGTGCTACCTTGCGAAACGAAGGGTACGACCATCAGGTCGTCCCGCAACACGAAAGTGCCGTCTTCATGGCCTGCGGCACGCACAACGACCTCTTCACTGATCGATCCTGCGTGTGGGTCGGTCATGACAGGTCGGGACAAGGCGGGCACGCAGCACCGTGCATCCGCCGTGTCGTCTTGCGAAGTGGACGGAACGACCGCGAGGTTGTCCCGCAACGTGTACCTGCCGTTTCCGTGACCAGTAGTGCGCACGACAGCCTTCTCGTTCGTCGACATGCACACTGGCTCGGGTACTAGCGAGAGAACCGGGGAAGGACTGGGTACGTCCAGTATGGACATACCATCGAGCTTCGAGTTCGCTACGCGACGGCTGGTGAATGCTCGATGGGGCACTTCGGACGTGCAATGCTGCGCGTCCGCCGTGCCGCCTAGCGGAATAGACGGTACGACCGCGAGGTCGTCCCGTGTTACAGGCATACCGCCTCGAGGGGCGGGGGTACGACCCTTAGGTCGTCCCGCAACACATACATGCCATCTTCGTGGCCAGCAGTGCGTACGACGGACTTCTCGTTCGTCGATACGCCTGCTGGCGCGGGCATTGGGGATGGAGGTATCGAGACAGGTACGTCCATCGAGGACGTACCTTCACTGGTCGGTACAGTGTGCTGGTCGGTCAGCAAAGGTCGGGACGTGTCCGATATGCGGGACTGAACGTCCACTGTGTCGCTTTGCGACGTTGGTGGTACGACCATAAGGTCGTCCCGTAGCACAACCGGGGCGATGGGCACGACCATTAGGTCGTCCCGCAACGCGTACATGCCGTCTCCATGGCCTGCGACACGCACGACGACCTCTGTGGTCGTCGATACGTGTGCCGGTGTGGGCATTGGAGAAGGAGGCGGTGGCGAGTGGGATACGCTCAACACGGGCGTACCTGCGTCCATTGAGCCTCTGTGCTCGTTCTTCTTGCTCGCCCCACACCCTTCCCCTCCTCTCTCTTCCTCATCTCCCTGGTTCCTGTTCGCTCCCCGTTCTGCACGTTCTTCTCGACCTTGTTGCTCGGCGCTGGACTTGCACGCGCGTCGTGCGAGTCCTGGGCCGCGCGGCTCTGTTGCGTGTCGCCAGAACCTTCGAGGGTCGAACAGATGGTGCCGGGGTCGAGGACAGAGCTTCTCGAGTCCGAAGCGAGGTTCCGAGAGTCGAGGATCGTGGTCATATAGGAAGTAGATCGCGGTCTGGCACCGTGAGGTGCCAGATCATTGGGCGCCGCCAGTTGAACTGTCAGTAGTTCAGCTGGCCATCCGGATCCGCGAACGCAAGTTTGTACGTCCATTGGAACAGCGTGTGCGTCTGGCCCGCCAGACGGACGCTCGTGCCTATCCTGAGGTTGAGCGCAGTCGACCTGTTCTGGGGACCGGTCGAGGCGTGCCAACGATACCGAGTGCGGTTCAACCGTCTTGGAGAGTCCGAAGTCTTGCACTTCCGGTAGGAAGTGCAAGTCTTCCTGGGTAGCGGCCGCGCGCGAGTAGTCGTCACCAAAGGGGGTGTCGACCGCGAGATGGCAGTCGATACTGACCGGTCGGTCCTTTAGCTGAACCGCGAAGGGTTCAGCTGTCCAAGGACAGTCCGCGGCTCGCACTTCCGTTGGGAAGTGCGAACCGGGTTGGAACGCGGTTGCACGCGGGCGGTGGCTGCCAGTGTGGAGGTCGAAGTGGCGGTTAGCATTGAGAGGAGTACTTCCGGCGCTACCGCTGGGAGTGCTCGCTCTCGGCGCGTGCGCATGACGCTCGACGCATTGAGCGTCGAGCTCGATGCTGGCCGCGTCGGGCACGTCGTCCGGCGCGATAATTGTATATTTTGAGTCGCGGCTCATTTCTGAGCACGCGATATGTGGATCTACGAGCAGAAGCTCGTCTACATCCGGGGATGCGACGTGGGGTCGCGTCCCTATGCCTTCCCGGGCGCAGGACCGAGTCATCTTGTCGGACAACTGGGACTCGGGCTCGGCGACGGCGGCGTCGACGAACCTGGCGCGTGCACCACTCTTGAGTGTGGTGCCGAGCTTCGTCGGCTCACTGGGAGCAGGCGGAGACGGGGTCTCCGGGCAGCTCTGAGCAGGCTCGACGTCGGGCTCGATCTGCTCAATTGGTGGTCCCTTGGACTCAGACACGGGCTCGGCAGCGGCAGCGCTGTCGATCTCGGTGCGTGCACCACTCGTCGGGGAGCTTTCCAGCTCCTGCGGCTCGGCTGGAGCAGGCGGAGTCGTGTTCTCCTGGCAGCTCTGAATGAGCTCGACCTTGGCCCGCAGCGGTTCTGCGCGTGCTGTGTGTTCGACCTCGCGGTCGGACGACGCCTGCTCTGCGAGTGCTCCGGTTGAGTCCTCGCGGTCGGAGGACTCAGTCCGGCGGGTCGTTCGACGGTGACGTCTGGACTCGTTGTCCTGCTCCACGGAGCGTCTGAGCGATGCGATAGCATCCTCTAGATGCTTCATCGAGTCATCGAGTGTCCGGAACCGCCTAGTATCGGGGGTGGCTCGTGTCTCAGCCAGGTTACTCTTCAAAACTTCGCAAAACTGCCAAGAAGTCCATCGACCTTCGCATCGACCTTCGCGCGGCGGGCCTCCCGAGTACTACGCGAGTGCTTGGGAGAGTGGGTTGTCGATCCAGCCATCTTCTTGAGTGGTTGCGAAGTCGACTAGATTTTGATGTAAAGCATAGAAATTCAATGTTTCCAGGTTGTTGCCTAGAGTAGATAGTCCCCAGAACAGAAGCTGTTCTGGAGCGCAAAAAAGTGTAGCGTCCCTTAATCCTCGGGCCCGGTATGCGCTGTACCCAGTCTCTATTCAGAGGGACTGTCTACACGTAGCATACATGGGGCGATGAGGATGGTAAAGGACTGAGGTCTCGTAAGTGCGCTGGTGCGCCATACGAGCCCTCGAGCAAACAAGAACAAACATGCAAGATAAGATATACCGTAACGGGAATATCCGTTACAATACGCCCCCGGCACTCCTAAACTACCTATCTATCCACGCCGCTGCAGCTATCGCCCGTGGCCGACCAGCGAACCATGCAATGCTCGCCTCACGAAGAGCGGAGTGAGGAACGGCGAAAGTATACGCGTCCCCATTCGCCCGTTCCCAGTCCAAGACTTCGATAGCTTCGTCGGGCGGATGCTCAGCCAACCAGGCGTCGAGGACGCGATCCGTAGCAGCCTCGCTATGGTCAGGACGGGAGCGCTGTGCGACATATCACAGGCGAAAGGTGTCAGAGAGATGTGCGATCGGTGGAAGGCAGAGACACCTACTGCTGGTGACGACGATCTCTTGCTGCTGTGGTCACTCTCCGTGGACTGGTTCAACCCATATCTCAACAAAATCTCAGGAAAATCAGTCTCGTCTGGCTCCATCGCGATGATCTGCTTGCTCTTACCTCCGAGTCTGCGCATCAAGCCAACTTTCGTGTACGTGAACGGCATCATGCCTCACCCGGAACCCTCAAACGACCAGATGAACCACTTCCTGCGCCCCCTCGTCAACACTTTGGACACGGCGTGGAGTCGGGGCGTGTGGTACTCACGTACATATCAACATCCGAGGGGCCGCAGAGTCCATTCCGGTGTTGCTACAGGCGTGAACGACCTCCCTGCTAGCCGGAAGGTCTCCGGACAAGCGTCACATGCGGCGCACTGCTTCTGCGCTTTGTGCAAACTCACGAAAGAAGATATCAATAACGTGAACCCCGAGACCTGGACGATGAAGACTAGGGAGGAGCTGCTTGAGCACGCGATAGCTTGGCGTGACGCACCTAATAAGACGACGCAGAAGAAGCTCTACAAGAAGCACGGAGTCCGCTGGTCAGAACTCTGGCGACTGTCATATTGGGATCCTACGAAGCTTGTGGTTATCGACGGCATGCACACTCTCTTCCTTCGTGTCGTACAGCACCACTTCCGCGTCATCTTAGGCATGGATGTTCCCGTTGACGAGGAGGACGGTGACGGTGCCGTGGCGGAACCTGATGTCGACGCGTCAACGGAGAAAGCGCTGGCCAAGTTGGATGGCAAACTCACCAAGTCCTGCACCTCGAAAGCGTTGGAAAGCTTCGCTAAGGCAGTACTGTGGGAAGCCTGTCGCCGGTACGGTGTTGACATCTCGAAGATTTCATACAGGAAGGTGAAGAAACGGACGCTTTCCGAAGCCCTGCTCGTGAGTGGACGCTGAATCATTGTTAACGACAGCTAATGGAGTATATATCAGGAACATACACATTATTTAGTGTGTCTAACCCGTTCGGAACGGTAGACCCGGAGTGAGATTTGCCCGTTTGGAACGTTGACCCGGAGGCCGGCCGGAGCAGCCCCAGGGTCCGGCCGGAACGTTTGCAACGGTGCCATTGCAACGCTCCGGCCGGAGGGCATGGCCGGCTGGTCATCCACCATCTCCAGCGTTGCGGCCGGCCTCCCCTGGAACCTTCCCGAGACGTTGCAATGGTCCGGCCGGAGGGTATGTGGGCCGGTCATCCTCTTTCCAACAGTCCGGCCGGAGCAGGCAGATTTCTGAGCTAAACGGAGTGGCCGGGCAGTTTACATTGCAAACGCTCCGGCCGGTCAATAAATACAATAAACATGGTGCCATTAGCAACGGCCCGGCCGGAGTTCCTGCCAGAGCAATGTACACATTGCAACGGTCCGGCCGGAGCACATGGAATCAATTCCCAGCAATGCAAATGGTCCGGCCTGCCAGTAGAAATGTCAGTGTCAATGGTCCGGCCGGCCGGAATTTTTCACCTTTTGCCGGCCGAAAATACAATGTCTCGGGCCGGGGGTACAGCCAAAACTCGGCCAAAGCAGCCAGCCATTTTGCCGGCCGAGCCTTTGCTTTGCCGACCGGGCATGGATTGTCCCGGGCCGAGATTGTTCAGATTGTCTCGGGCCGAAGATTTTCAGATTGTCTCGGGCCGAGGGTACAGCCAAAACTTGGCCAAAGCAGCCAGACATTTTGCCGGCCGAGCTTTTGCTTCACCGACTGGGCAAGCATTGTCTCGGGCCGAAAAATTGACCATTTTCTCGGGCCGAAGATTTGAGTACTGCCTCGGGCCGAAGAGTTGGGCATTTTCTCGGGCCGAAGATTTGGCCGAAGCTCGGTGAAAACAGCCGGGCTGTTGGATTGCCATATAAGGAAATTTGGTATTGACTGGTAGTACTTCATTGATAGACTATAGTATCAATTCCCTAGTGACCAAAGATGTCTAGTTAGGCCAGGATGTGCAAAACAAGATTTACTCACAGGCTTCTTTGCACAGCAAGTTAATCAATTTCTGAAGCCAGTTTTCTTTTCCCACACTGTTTGACTATCTAGGATGTGTTGTTTCAATGCATAGAGTATATCCCCAACAGGAATAGTCTTATTCTTTGAAGCTGAATGCAGAACATGAGATAAGGGGCATACAGGTATGGTACCGTGCTGAACAATGTTGACTCCTGCAGCCAATGTACATTCAAAACAATGTTTCACCATCTAGAATAGTTCATTTCCTCACAAGGAATCTGTTCTCCAAAGGAATAGTCTTATTCACACAAGCTGAATGTGGTACAGAGTTAAGGCAAGGGTGTATGGGTATACATGTCATACTGTGTTCACTTCCTGAAGCCAATATGCTTTCCCCACAATGTTCCACAATCTAGAGTAGCACATTTCAATGCAACAAGCAAGTCTCCCAAAGGAATAGTCTTATTCTTTGAAGCTGAACTCGGGGATGAAGATAAGGTGAATATGCATTATATTGTGAGAGACATACTTTGGATTATTGTCTGTCTGGGTGTCACACTGAAATGTTGTACCAGCATGCACATTGCACTTGCCACAGAAACATTTACATTGGTAACAGTCCGGCCAGCCAATCCTCATCCTCATAGGAGATGGTCTGGCCGGAGTGCATGATCCCCTTAACTCTGTACCACATTCAGCTTGTGTGAATAAGACTATTCCTTTGGAGAACAGATTCCTTGTGAGGAAATGAACTATTCTAGATGGTGAAACATTGTTTTGAATGTACATTGGCTGCAGGAGTCAACATTGTTCAGCACGGTACCATACCTGTATGCCCCTTATCTCATGTTCTGCATTCAGCTTCAAAGAATAAGACTATTCCTGTTGGGGATATACTCTATGCATTGAAACAACACATCCTAGATAGTCAAACAGTGTGGGAAAAGAAAACTGGCTTCAGAAATTGATTAACTTGCTGTGCAAAGAAGCCTGTGAGTAAATCTTGTTTTGCACATCCTGGCCTAACTAGACATCTTTGGTCACTAGGGAATTGATACTATAGTCTATCAATGAAGTACTACCAGTCAATACCAAATTTCCTTATATGGCAATCCAACAGCCCGGCTGTTTTCACCGAGCTTCGGCCAAATCTTCGGCCCGAGAAAATGCCCAACTCTTCGGCCCGAGGCAGTACTCAAATCTTCGGCCCGAGAAAATGGTCAATTTTTCGGCCCGAGACAATGCTTGCCCAGTCGGTGAAGCAAAAGCTCGGCCGGCAAAATGTCTGGCTGCTTTGGCCGAGTTTTGGCTGTACCCTCGGCCCGAGACATTGTGTTTTCGGCCGGCAAAAAGTCCGGCCGGACCATTTGTAGTGGTAGGGCCTGAGGCTGGCCGGCTCGTTTGCAATGCTATATCTGTTGACCGGCCGGACTGTTTGCAGCGTGGACTGCCTGGCCACTTTGAATTCTGCCTGCTCCGGCCGCAACGTTGAGAACGAGGGATGACCGGCCGGCATACCCTCCGGCCGGAGCATTGCAACGTTGGGTGAAAGAGGCCGGGCGGATCGTTGAGAAGTGGGGGGCGGCCGGGGTGTAGTCCGGCCGGAGCGTTGCAACGTCCGGTGAAAACAGGCCGGCCGCAACATTGAGGAGGGGGGTGGGGCTGGCATGCACTCCGGCCGGAGTGTTGCAACGTACCATGAAAACAGGCCGGGTGGATCGTTGGGGACAGTATTCAGGGATGGCAAGGCCGGCCGCAACGTTGGAGACGAGGCAGAGCCGGCCGGCATGCACTCTGGCCGGACCGCTGGCAACGTGCTGGCAATGACAACGTCTGCAACGTTGACCCGGACCCCTCCGGCTGGCGCCGGCCGCACCGTTTCAGACGGCCAGATCTCACTCCGGGTTTACCGTTCGGAACGTCAAATCTTACTCAGTAGGCTCGAACATACCAGGGCAGCGACACCAGGAACACATAAGCCGCCTCAAGATGGCCCGAATGTTCTGCCGCTCTCCGAGATCGTTGGGGATGACTTCGTCGCTGAGGTCGCGGCGTCGAACAGTACCAACGGACCACGTTCACTGTTCACCAAAGACGACCTCCTGCGCGTGCAGTCCGAAATAGCGTGCACGATGCGCCCTAGCCATTCGACGGGCCCGCCTGCACGAATCGGGACGAAAGTGCACGGCAAATTGAAGGCTGACCAGTGGAAGGCGGGGATCGACTTCGAACTTCCCGTTTACCTGATGAAACATTGGTACGCGTCAGACACTGCAGGACTGAACGAAACGGAGAAGACGAGACACGACCTTGCCGTGAACACGATGCGACTTGCGTGTGCCATCCGACAGGGAGTATCATACCGCACGTCTGAGCAGCACAAGAACGCATACGCCGCACATATGCTTGCGTATCTCACTGGCATTCGGCGCATTAGACCTGATCTATCATTGCTGCCCAGTCATCATAACGCGATGCACATACCAGAATTTCTCATGCACTTCGGACCCATGCCGGGTTGGTGGATGTTCCCCTTTGAACGGGTGATCGGTTTGCTGCAACAGGTGAACACTAATGGAAAGATAGGTGAGGAGTACGTCCTATCTGCGGAGTCATACATTGGTACTCACCGATAATGTCAGGTCAAATGGATCGCACCATGCTGGATACGTTCTGTGCGGCCGCGAATATCAAGTCGTTCGTGCAGCAAGAGGCGTGTCCGGACGCCTTGCAACGACTCCGGCCGCTGATGGAATCCCTTCTCAAAGCGGACACTCGAGGTACGCTGATGTCGCAACTTCTACCAAACAATGGCGTCGGAGCCACGGTTGCGGGAGACGAGATCAGCAACTACCTCAAATTCAAAGAACTCGACAAACACTACTACGAGGCCATGGTGAGCCAGCAGACGGCGATAAAGGTCGACTTACCTGACTGGACGCCTGGACGGAGAGCGATCATGCATAATCGCTATACCTTCTCTGGTCTAACGTACTCAAAGTACGTCGAGGGGAAGGCGGGCGGCATCATCTTCTTCCAGCCACGCACCGGCGACGCCTTCATTCCTGGTGTTATACGTGAGATATTCGCGGTTGCAGCTTTGGACAACTCACGGCCGCATCTTGTTGGACATATGCTCCTCGCAGTCCAACGCTTCCAGCCCCGCCCACCGTCGGTCGTCGATCCGTTCCTCGCGTACCCTGATTTCGGAGCCAGTATTTGGTCTCGCACGACGTCAAGGACCATGGAGATAATTCCTGTAGTACGGGAGTTACATCACGCAATCGTTCAGCCTTGGGACGACGGGACATATGTCCTGAAGTCTACAGCGACGGTGAGTTTTCAGCATACTACGATTAGTGATTTCTTACCGCGGGGGAAATGCAGGCCTACTAAGCACTGAATGGCTTCGGGCATCGGTATGTACGCCGTCCATTACGCAGCTATTACAGTCATCAGGCATACAAGCCTTCTGTGACTGGTGTTCTACCGACATACCATCACTATACGACAGCCCATTCATACTTCTGTTATGAGCCTATACAGGCTCACAATCGCTTATTGATCGACTACTTCGAATGTAACTACGTTGAAGTACTACGCTACCCATCCCGTGTAAGTAAGATGACTCGGGACGATGAGAGTGCGAAAGAGGAAACGGTAGCGGTGCTGAGCGCCCTATCAGTCACCGCCCGTTTAGGGCAGGCGAGAACTCGGAGCGCCCGGGCCAACCGGTCCTAGGACCGGCTGCCATACGGCCCGCCGGAGATTGCCACGGCTTTGCACCTGCCCTAAACGCACCCAGGATCGTCTGAGCGGTCCCAAGGTACTTCTCTTCCTTTCGATCCACCACGTCGCGAATGCCCTCCTTAGTGTAGCGTATGTAGCATGGTAGCATACTATCAATGTAATAGTTAATATATCACTTACTATTGATGTCGTAGTCGGGACTGCGTTCCAGTAGTGTAGATCTTTAATGCGATCACAGCAGTGCCGACTCGAGTCAGCAGTGTCGGTTCCAGCGAACAATAAGAGTTCGTGTCGCATGGACGGCTGATTGATCAATCAATGTTGACCGGAGATGATCCTGATGAATCGTCCCAAGGTGAGTCTTTCTCCGTGCACCTGTTTTGGCAGAGGCGACATGCGGTTTCAGGAAGCGATATTACAAGCGGTGCAACGCCCGGAGACAGACAAAGTGCGTTTTTGTCCATTGTTCTCATTGTTCTCGTACTGTCGTCTGAGTGACGGCTGCGCTCAGAGTCTATATCATTTGGTGCATACGAAGATCGCCTCCATCCCGAGTCGCATAGCCATGGCTCACCTCTCGCATCGTCCCGCCCACCAGCTCGTTCGGCGCCAGTACTCGACGTTCCCTCTACAAATCGACTTCACTGCAGAACACCTGCTCACTCACCCCCTGAATGCTCTGGAAATGGATTTCGAGCCTGAAAATCCACCCCCGCACAGAATGTTCGACCCTGCCACCGAGACGGTTGTTCTCAGTGATCGGCCCAAGATTCGCAAGCCGGACGGTGAAGTCGCTCGCCCTGGCAGAGGTGGCTATACGCTTGCCTCTGATTTGAAGTGGCCCGACGGTTTGTACGGCAAAGTTCAGGTGTGATATGCCACCAGCCCGCGTTAGGCGATATATTCACTAGCTTCTAGCATAGGGTCGCCGCCTTGGCCACGAAACACATGAAACCAATCAGTCTCAGCAATCAACCTCTAGAGGCCATCAAGACCGTGTGCGATGAGGTATGTACATGCCACTACCCATATTTGCGCCGGCTCAAGGACGATAATAGGCCGCGAAGTCTTTCCCTGTCTTGCTGGACTACGAGGATCATTGGGTGACTCGCGACATGCTCAAGACTCACTTGAAGAACAAGGCGCAGCGTGCGAAGTAACCGGATCCGCATCTAAGCCCCATGTACGTTCGTTGCGCCCCAAGGTTTAGTGATTGTCACTTACGACTCGCGTTCTCATGTGTCTGTTTCTTGAAAGGTGTTCGTACAGTTACATAGACGTTCGTACTTAAATTTTGTATCCAACACGGAAAGAATCCATGGGTTAGCAATCGGCTATATCGCGGTGCCGCCGAGAGTTCTTGTGATGGTCGTACTCTCTATTGTGCTCCGCACAACAATAAAGTGAGTATCGTGGTATCGTGGTACATAGACAGTGAGGCAAGTGATCAGCCGATCTAAGTATACCGCACCTCCCACTGACGATGTCATGCCAGTGACAGCGACTGAGGATGAGCTCGACACCGTACACGAAATCCTCTTGTCGTCTGCATGCACCACGACATACGTTAGATCTCTGCGACTTACCATCGCACACCCCCTCTGTGAACGTTTACAACTGTCAGTGAATGGCACGGGACGCTCGGGTAGAGCCCTCCGGATTGACTACTGCCGTGCACTTGACCTTTATGTTCGTATTCTACTGCTTTAATAGCTGATCTCCCGCTAATAGTTCGCCAGAGACGACATGACGTTGCGAAGCCAACGGATGGCAAACGGAGGGCTAACGATGTCGCAGGACCAGAATCCGTGAAGCGCAAGAAGGGCTCGCACTCGGAAAGCAGAACACGTCTTAAGAGGTCTGCCATAGATGAAGAAGCCCAGGACGTCTCGAACGACCCGCGTGTCATAAAGCGTATGCGCGTCCAGGATGGTCGCACAATTGTACTCGTTCGTTCCAAGGGTACGAGTGCGGGGCCTCCGGAGAGCTCTACCTCTCAGGCTTTGACTAGTGTGCCATCTTCCGCGCCATCTCAGCCCATTACGACCACTCAGCCGACGTCTGCTGAAGATGTTGCTGAGGTCAATTCCCCAAAGCCTCGCGAGCGCAATACTCAACAGCAACGCAAGCGACTGCCCATACCAGTACAGGACAAGGTTAGAAGCTACGTTCCGTACCTTTATTCAACATGCTCATTATCGCGTAGACAGCGTCATTCACTGTCAAGTTATTCGCTTGTGCGGGTGACTGGGACGTCATTGCGGCGCTCGTCTTCCAACCTCCTGCACCCGGTGATTTAGACATACCATCTCTAAAGAAGCTACTTGGTGTCGCGGGTTGTCTACAGGTATTCTCTCGCTGTTTCGTGGTGTGGTGAACGACTGAACAAGAGGGTAGGTCATCGATCCAATTAATCTCAAGCCTTTCCACTATTATCGGCCTCATATTGTCGAACATGACGATCTCGAAGAATTACTCGTGAACGGATACTTGAGAGTTGTGGTGAGCAAGTCCGTCAAAGTGTTCGGTATGTCTTGACATTGTTGCCTTGCTCTGCAGGAGACACATGCATGCAAGTATTGCGCTGGGGCGAGTGCTGCCTCGTAGGAACTGCAGGGATAGTGATATTCTAGACAGTGTTAATGCATTGGGTTGTCGTTGATCACTGAGAAGTGGGCCAGAGTGAACGGTACACCGAATGGCCTCGATGAGCATGCAATTTCGGTAAGCATGGTGGTAAGTAAGTAAAGATTTGTAAGTTTGTAAGTAACGACAATGGACGATCACGACGCCGCTCAGCGGGCCACTCAGGGGGCTATGATCGACACGCTCATATAGGGCCGCCGAAAATCCAGCATTTCTGCCCGAGATTTGCGAGTTGCCCAAATCTCGTCCTAAGCCCAGCATTTGCGCTCGAATACGCGACGAGCCCAAATTCAAAATTTACGAGTGTCGTATATTTTGCATTTCAGACACCATTTACGACGAACCTACTGATAGCATTCTCGGCCGAGTTTACGGTGGCCTCGTATGGTAATCCCGTTTTTGAACTTTGGTCTTGCATATTGTCTCACCCCTTATCCGTCGTCTCTTAACTTGAATACACGCCCGTCCCGTGTTCTACGTTTACGCCCGAGATTTTCGGCGGGCCAATATCCTGCCTTATATGGATACTTTAGGCTCGAATATCCGCTGACCCCAAATTGCGTCCTATCGGTCACAATTTGGGAAAGCATTTGAGCCCCATTTAGGGCGTTCCCATTCCGGCACATGTCTCCGGTGCTTTCACTGTGGGCGATATGTATCAGACAACCGACGCCCGGTCAATAGTAGGTCCGTCTACCCACCGTCGTAAATAGTAAGGTGGTCTGGCACATCTAGCACCAGTTTCTGTCAAGCATTTTTGCGGCATCGCTATTTCATGTTGGTGGCTGTACGGTGGGGGTGGGTCTCCTAGGGTGATCGACTTATTGCCAAACATGGATGTAATTGCGATGGAATCTCCCATCATGATCATCAAAGCTCGACTAACTTACCGTGGATGATTCAGTACTTGCTCTCACCACTGCAACAGTATAGAGCGACGCTGACGTCATTCTCCAGTCTAGCATCCTCGATGTTTTGCGCTGGCGGTGGCTAGTAGTCGAGTGCTCATTTGACCGTAAAACCTGCCAGTCTGCTCTCCTCTGCAGCAGCACGCCACTTGTACTCGAAGACGCGTAAGTGGCTCACATATGCACCAGGGTGCGGCGCAAGATTTCTGATTCCATGATCCGCCACCATTCGACGGTCTGTCAAGCCTGTCAAAGGCTGTCAACTTGAAGCAAGTCAAGAGCTCAAGCACGCTGGCGATGCCAGTGCACGGCGATCTTCTGGGATCCCGAGTTCGTGCATACCAGCGTATAAAGGGCTCGAAGGGATGTCTACCGTATTCCTCAGTCCCTCTTCTCCCTTCGAAGTTCGAAGCCACCGAGTAGGTTGCCGGCAAGTAAGTGTTCAACGATGGTGGTAGCCTGTTTGAATGTTGCACTGACCCTTGCACCGCTCCAGCCTCGCTCGTTTTTTTTTACTCACGTCCCTTCCACCAAAATCCTTCGTAACGACCCTTGTTGATTCACGACATAATGCGTTACTCTACACTCGCGTCTGCCGTCATTTTGGCGGCGGCAACTGCTCCCGCGCTCGCTCACCCAGTCACCACGTGAGCCCCTTCCTTATTATTCCTATGTCATAGCTGACCATGCAATAACAGTCGAGCGACCGAGGACGCCTCCGTGGTTGAGCGTGAGCTCCAAGACGGACTGGTGGAGCGCGGCTACTACGACGAGATAGTCGAGCGTGATCTAGAAGCACGCAGGCAGCCCCCTCGTCCTCCTCGTCCCCCTACCCCGCCCCCGCCCCGCCCCAGGCCTTGGGCACCCCCTCGTCCTCCTACTCCTTACTACCCGCGACCCCGAAGCGACTACTACGATATGGTTGCGCGTGACCTGGAGGCACGCAGGCAGCCCCCTCGTCCCCCTCGTCCCCCTACCCCTCCCCGCCCCGGCCCAGGCCTTGGGCGCCCCCTCGTCCTCCTACCCCTTACTACCCGCGACCCCGGAGCGACACTGAGTGGTTTGCCCGGGAGTACGACGTCGACGGCGAGCTGTTCGAGCGCGGCTTCGAGATAGACGAGCTTGACTAAGCGGACATCTTATCATTATCATGGGACTCATAGATGTACCTCTGCTTGCTGTACGCATCGTGTTCGCCATATCAATAATATGTAACGTGAAGACTCAGTCATGCGCGCTTGGAAATTTGAGCACCAGTCGAGTGTTGCTATTAATGCATGTAATGCCATTATGCGAGCCAAATGAATCGCGCACTAACGATATATAGCCGAGTGGCAGTAATCATATACATGGAGCTGGCCGAAGGATGGGAACGACGAAATGGATCGAGCCTTCTCCTGGATCCGATGGCCACAGGTTGCGACGTGTCGGTGGAGCGGGATCTGCCTGTCCCAACCCAATCCTCCACGAACAGGCACAGTCACACGACCGCTACATTTCACGCGAGAGGACTCCCCCGCGCAAGGCGCAGCAGTCGAATGGCCACCCCATCCATCCATCACCATACCGCGCGCAATGTTGGCCGTAGTCATGGGAAATTGGGAATCCATACGTGGCCCTCGTCACAGGCGATAGCGGCGAAGCGTAGGCAGCTCCGTGTGTGTACGGGTTGTTGAGAGCCAGTCTTGAATGGAGTACTCTCGGAGTGGCTCCAGCGCGAGTCGGGAGTTCGACGACGAATGGCCGTTGCTGCTAGCGTCTTCGGTGGTAAGCTGGTGACGGGCGTTCTTTGGCTGGACGATGACGCTGAGCGGGTCTGAAAGTGCGTACAAATCCGCGATTTGAGGAACGACGTCAGGGTGCGCGTTTATCGGAGCCGGCCAGGGACTGACGCATGCGCTTGCTGCGCTGACTCAGATGTACGCGGCCGTGATATGTCGGTCTACAGCAACCGCAAGTCAATCCCGGCAGAGCGCTCTACGGGAAGCGACTCAGAAGAGGACGTACCGATGTCAGGGTGTTGCGCAGATGGTGTACGACCTCCAGAGAGGGGCCCCGGTATGGCACTATGCACGCTACCCGGCGCGGATACCACCTCGTGAGGTTCTGTGAAAGGTGGTTAGGAGGAATGGTGACGCCTGTCGAGAGCGCCACACGCATGACGGAGAGGATCAAGGGCCGCGCTGCGCTGCGACCGCCCCCGAGTCGGAAGCGGGACGACATGGCAAAGGCTGCAGGAAGAGAGTGGCGGAGAGGGGGATATGCAGTTTCTGCGGGTGAGTAGCGGTGTAGGATGGGTATTTATACGCTGGGGACGTTGAGTGCACAATGCAGGCGCGAGAGGGACAATAAAAGGAGTGGCGTTTATTAGGGCAATGCTTGCCTCGCATGCACGCGCCCTAAGTAAAAAAGACGGCGAACACGTGTTGCGCATAAGCTGGGAGATGCGGCCAAATGGATCATAGTAGAACTCACCGCCATTGCCAGCATGGTCCCAGCTCGCTGCTCCTGCCAACTCGGCTGTGTACTAGGGATCGCGTGCATATAGTCAAGGCTTGTACTTTCAGCGACTCCAGTATTTTGGTCCATGGCTAACGCGAGAAAACCCGACAAGACGTGGTGTAACAGCGAGCAAGGGCTAGAGTTCAAGCTCAAGATGGACGACGACAGCCAACACGAATCTCAGCCACAACCGCAAAGGGACACGATCGGGGAAGCGATCTCTCAGCCACAGACGCGTCGACGGGCCCGCCGCGTCGACAGCGCGCTGCGCTCCGAGTCGGTCACTGGCAGCTGTGAGCCATACGTACGCACCACGACAACCCTCTCATTCTTGCCGCGGTAGCATAGACATTCGCTCCGTCAACTGCCAAGCAGCTCTCCCGGCGTCCGTCCCGTTCGCAGTCGTCAACCCGCGGCAGACCCGCAGTGCAATCATCGAAGCGCTTCGCGACTCACATGCCCATCGCAGGAGGACTCTCCCGGAGGGACCATGCAACTCGGGAGACCCTGCTTCTCCACGTCGTCCTAGTGAATCCTCTGGCGGAGAGGCCTGCACAGGCTGGCCCCCATCCCGCCAGGTCCTATTGCGATGTTTGTCTGCCGTGCCATCCCCAAGGAGCATGCGCGAGTGACAGAGATCCCAGAACCTCGTGAGAGTCCAGGTCAGAAGCGGTACGTCCGCATGTCCTCGCTAGTGTTCTCGGTGGGTGACGTGGATACAGCTATACAAATTTAATGCGTCGCGCTCGGGGTCTGTTGTACCGGGGATGCAGCGATGGATCGTCATCCTCGCGAGTCGCGGGTGAGTAGTGAAGCTCCAGCGTCCGTTTTGCGGAGGGGGCGCGCGGTGGGTGCGGGGCGTACTTGTATGGGTGTGGCTTTTTATTGCCACTAACTCCGCTTGTTGAGGCCGGGAAGGGTCATTCGGGCGCGTCTTCGGTGACGTGACTGCGGGAGTCTGCGCAAGGGAACACGTCGTGAGTCACTGAATTTTCCATACGGGGCTTAACGAGGGTGAGGACACTCACGTACGAGAGTAGCGCCACCGACGCTTCGCTGGGTCATCAGAAACCCCCGTAGTGCGTAATGCGCGGAATCAAAGTCTGCGCGAAGGGCGCGGAGGTCGCTCTGCAGAGTGGTTAGGAGGAATGGTGACGTGCGGGAGGAACGCCGCCTGGGGTGCGGCAAGTCGATGGGCGACGGGCGGTCGCATGATGGTGGATATGCTCAGCGAGGTGAACTCAGTCGAAGTGCGAAGGTGTGTGGGGAAACGATAGAGAGCGAGGCCGTATTTATACGTTTAGCGCGCCACGCAGGGGCCAGAGAACAAGGACGCTTGGCAACCTGGACCACAGGTCGCTACCTCTAAGCGTCACATTCGGCGCGCCACTTGTCAAAGCGTACGCCACTTCTGCCTCCTGGATCCGTAACAATGACACAACTGCATTCCATTTTCGGACGAACAATCGTGGACGTGGCGCATTAGATCTCGCCGCGTATGGCCCTAGGGACGATCACTGGTCAACGTGAGTTTCGCTACCACAGCAAACACTCTTCAGTCTTTGTACGTCCAGTTCGAACATCCTCCGTGCAGCTGCGAACTCAAATAGCCGAAGTTGAGCAGTTGGTTGACCCCTATAATGATCAGCGCAGTCGGGCTGACAATGCCACGTAGTATTGCGGGCCCTGACAACCGAAGGCGATCCAATCCGTTTCAGGTCGTCGCCCCACAAAGCCACCCGTTGTCACCATATCGCGCTTTGACCCGAGGAACAATGCCCGCGGACTGCCAGCTCGGGTATAAATACCCTGGACGCTCCCACCGAGCTTATATCTCATACACAGCTCGACGATGCCACGCCTCAGACAATTGAACCGCACCCCTCCATCCTGCTGTTACCATTCCTCCTACACCAACAGGCAACGGCCACCTCAACGAGAGCGCAGGGGATAAGAGCCTCCTCCGCCACGGGTGTACTCTCACCGTTACACCTCGAATTCGTATGTTCCCTTCCCCAGTCCCCATGATCCTCAAGCCTGACCCAACGCTCCGTCCCACAGGCTTCCGAATGCCCGCGTAGCGACCGGCCACGGCCCCACCTCCGCCTGCGCGCGGACCGAAAATGCGCGAAACGAGCGCGCGCCGTAAGCGACAAGGGTCGGGAGGTTGACATGCACCTGCAGCCGACGTTCATCGCGGCCGCGCGGCCGTGCGAGCAGATGTGCGTAGATGGGTCGTAGACCATCGGGGATCCTCCCGAGCCCGACCCCGCATCCTTCCAGGCATCCGCACGTGCCGCGGCACGATCCTTCGATGGTCCTGTGCACTCCATTCTTGCGATGGTGGCAGGGTGCGTGTTCGCTCTGTGGAGGACTAAGATTGCGCAGCTTGAGGCAAGCTTCGGTCGTACTCGATCGAGAGGTTCTCACTGACGCGGCGCCGGTTCGAAGGGAGCCACAGGTGCTACGCACCGGTGCAGTCGCACAGTGGCATTCAAACAGGGGTGCGAAGACCATGGTGGTGAAGGCTGCCCTATCCCTTCCATCTATTTCATTCATCGCATGCGAGGGTCGCTCGACCTGATGCGCGTCGGGCGCGCATAGTCCGTCGGGCATCCCCGTAGCCGGAACTCCCGCCCATTTCAGGCATCCGGGCGATCTGCGACACGCCCGTCGATGTCGGTTGATATTCGTTTCTGCGATGGTGGCACGGCCGGCGGGTTCGCGGACTCAAAACATGCAGCTTGAGGTAAGCTTTGGACGTACTCGGCTGGCCGGTGCTCGGCTGATGCGGCGACGCTCGGAAGGCCAAGGGTGCTGCGCAACAGTGCAGTCACACCGTATGATGCAAACGGAGTTACAATGGCGCGGGCGAATGGCTACCCCCCGCTGGGATGCTTCTGGAGCGGGACAGTCGTCTTGCTCGTAAGCACTTCCAGCTGAGAGTGGCCTGCAACTCGACAGTCGTTCGCGGTTTTCAATTGTCGAACGGGGTGTTGCGTCCGGCGGCGAGCCCTCAGTGATCCTTCCACTTCAGTTACCAACATCGTCCGCGACATTTGTTACACTGCACCCAAGTACGCGTTTAACTTCGGCAGTCGTATCATCTTTGCTATCCTCTCTCTGTAGATGTACTAGGAATACGAGCTAACAATGAATCAGTCGTTGCCGTAGCAGGCGACGTGCCAGTGGCCGAGGCGAATGGCAGAAAGCGCCGGCGACGCGTCTGTGGCTGAGGAGATCCTTGCCCGATCGGTGACTCACCGTCTGTCCGTCATCTTGTCCACGACCATTTGCCTCTGTCGATGGTGTCTCCTCGGCTCTGCACGTAACCAGCCACTGGCAAGGACGCTCACGTGAGCCTTACATCAAGGTGATACACATGTAGCTTCTGCGACGGTCATCGTGGCCCTTGTCAGGTCACACTAGCACTGTTGGTGAGGCGATGAGAGGTACGTCACCCCCCGTCCATCCTACCGTGCCTCGCCTGAGACGACTGCAGCAGACTGCATCAAGCTACGTCTCTACCAAGCCTTTGCGGCACCGTTTTCTGATCGTTATATATCCCAGTATATCCTGCACAGTCGTGATACGGTGGCTGTGCAGTGGGTGGTGATCGACAGATCGCCAAAGGTGAAGGTGATTGCGATGCAATCTCCGCATCACGGCACAGCGACGCCGACGTCATTCCCCAGTCTACATCCCCGATGCTTTGTGCCGGCAGTGGCTAGTCGAGTTATCGTCCCGCCAGTCTGCAGCAGCAGGCCACGCATACTCGACGACGAGTGAATGGCTCACGTGCACCAGGCTGCGGCGCACGTTGGAGCGCCACCATGCGACGCAAGTCGAAGCGTCTGCGCCACCATCAGGAAGCGACGATCTGTCAAGCCTGTCAAAGCCTGTCAACTTGAAGCCAAAAACTGTCAAGCACGATGATCCGAGCGGGTGAAAAATTGAATAAACGGCACAAGACAAGCTTGTCTTCGCTGCTGTTATTCCAAGTCCGGAAATGCTGGCGTATAAAGGGAGAGCTGCGCCTCACAGATCCCTCAGCTCTTCTTCTCCTTCGAGCCCACCGAGTAGGTTGCCGGCAGGTGAGTGTTCCGCGACAACGGTAGTTCGAATGTGCACTTACCCCATGACCCCCTCCAGCCTCGCTCTTTTTTTTCTTTGACGACTCACGTTCCTTCCACCGAAGTCCATCGTAACGACCCCAGTGCATACACGACATCATGCGTTACTCTACGCTCGCCTCCGCTGTCCTTTTGGCGGCGGCAGCTGCTCCCGCGCTCGCTCACCCGGTCACCATGTGAGCCCCACGCTATTGATTCTTATGTCATAGCTGACCATACAATACCAGTCGTGCGACCGAGGATACCTCCATAGTTGAGCGTGAACTCCAAGATGAACTGGTGGAGCGCGGCTACTATGACGACCTCGTCTCTCGGGACCTGGAGGCACGCAAAGACTCTGCCCGTGGGCCTACGCATCTCGCCGGGATGATAAAGAAGGATGCGGCGAATCTGCACCGCCAACGTCCCGACGTGAATTCGCCGAGCGGGTCAGCTCGACACGCCTATTCTGGGTCTCATCCGTCTCATTCGCATCCCAACCGCGTCCGGAGCGACGACGAGATAGTCGAGCGTGCCCTGCCCGGACGCAAGGGGCCTGTGCGGCAGACTGGTCCTCCTCCCCTCCATCCAGGCCCTGACCCTCGTCCGCGACCCCGAAGCGACTACTACGACATAGTCGCGCGTGACCTGGAGGCACGCAGGCAGCCCCCTCGTCCCCCTCGTCCCGTTACCCCTCCCCCTCCCGCGCCCAGGCCTTGGGCGCCCCCTCGTCCCGCTACTCCTTACTACCCGCGACCCCGGGGCGACAATGAGTGGTTTGCCCGGGAGTACGACGTCGACGGCGAGCTGTTCGAGCGCGGTTTTGAGATAGATGAGCTTGACTGAGCGGACGTACGAGCATGATCGTGGAGCTGTTCCGATGTATTTCGCGCCTGTTGTACGCATCGTGTACATTCGAGTTGCGTACCACTTGTAATGTGAAGCGTAACGTGATGACTCACTGACGTGTGCTTGGTGATTTGAGGATCAGTTGAGTGTTGCTCATGCATGTAACGCCATGATTGTATAAGCCAGCATCTCGAGCAGTCGGAGTGTTTTGAATATGGAGCTGGTGGGAGGATGAGGACGTCGCGAGTGGCTACAGACTGATTACAGGCCGCGGCGCATCTGCTAGGGCTGTAGCGTGCCTGGATTCAGTGTACGTCATGCGCATCCATCAGTCTCTAGAGGTCGCTGACTTGTTATCCAATGTCTAGTGACGCATCCACGAACTGCCAGTGCTATCCGAGTCGCTGAGGTGATGAGAGGTGCGTCCCGCTCTGTGCGCCCCTGCTCTCGAGTCGGCTGTTAACATACATCCCGCAGACCAGAGACCTCTCGTATGTCGTCTGGAGCCCATTAAAGCCACACGGTGTCGACGGCGATTCCTGGCCAAATTTCTCTGGGAAAAGGACGAAATCGACCTCCGAGGAGGAGGAGGAGGAGGAGGAGGAGGAGGGGATTCCATTGAGTCCTCACCTCTGCGTGCCATAAGGGTTTGATCTTTCTCGTCGATGTGAGTACCGTTCCACGAACTCGACGATGCAATGCAGGTAAAACGAGAGGCTCTAGAACTTGTCACATTCCAGACGGCTAGCGATACAAGGACTCCGTGGTGTGCCTGTATGCTTTCATACGACACGGCCGCGAGCGTTCCATCCACACTGCGCACGACAACGTCGTGGCCACGCGCAAGCCTCTCATGATGGTCAAGTCCACGCTGCCCGATGCAGTGGGCGCATCTGTGTGCCCATGCTGATCGAAGTTGGAGGGTGATTGAAATTTGATGGGATGCCAGTGTAGTCACCATCATCTAGGACACTACAGATTCTACCGCTTTGGCGTCTTCGCCGCGTACCCGGCGGACCCTTTGACCTCCGACGACATTGTCGTATCCGCTCTCAAGGCGTCCGCGCGCAAGTCAATAATCTGTCTCCATGTTCCGCACGTGTTCATGTTGTTGTGTCTTCCAGACTCGGACATCGTCGTGGACCACTGCTTGGGCCGTCCCACCTTCGAGAAGGTTGTACTCAGTACGTGTCTATGTTATGGGAGGACGCAGATTGGTCGTCTATGCGCTGAGCGAGCGAGGACGGAAGGTAGCATGCTGATCATGAGCGGAGGCTTCTGTGCGATACAACTGTCTCTTCTAATCTTGGACTGTCTCGAAGCAACCGTGTCAACATCCCGGAATGACGATCGTGCTGATGGGCCCATTTGTGATCATCAGTTTCTTCTGCTGCCGCCTTCGTGCGTACACAACAGTAACACAAGGCTAGCACTGCAATAGCTGATCTAATCATTGTATCCGGCTCAAGACCGCGAGTCCGTAGGCGAATGGTTATCATCACGATCAGGGGGATCATAGACAGTAGTACTAAGAGGATCATCAGTCGCGATAGGAGGGATCAAGGGCCACGTCCGAGTGTATATCGTTACCTTTGTACTAGTACGCGAGGGCCTCGAATATCATGCTACCGTATGTCCCCGCTCCTTCGGAATCGGAATATGCGCGATCCAGCCAAGGTCTCTTCCTCATCGTGTCCTTTTACCGTGAGCACGCCCTAGGCACTGCCTTCTCGAGGGATGAGACGGCGGTTGTTCAGGCTTCCTGAAGGACACGACGATCTCAGAACATGAGGAGCATGAAGACAGCTACAGACGCACTTGGGAATGTAAGCCATCATGGCGTCAATCAATGCTGCGACGCTCCGTCCGTTCCTGTACTGCGTATACTGTCCGCTGCGATAGATCCGTAGTGTCTTAGACGAGAACCAACTGTTATCATCCAAGAACTTGCAAGTCTCGAGTGTTAAAGCTACGTACGGGAAGCGCTCGATACCGTTCGCCTTGCAGGCTTCTGACTCCGGAGCATCGTCACAGTTGATTCTTTGCAAACTTCGCAGAGCCCTGGAGATTTGTCGCGACCCTCTCATAGTTGGGAGCCAAAATCTGGCAAAATCGACACCTGAGCACAGATTAGAAGAGTCAGAGGATGTCCTCGCGCAGAGTGATTCACATACCATGGGGCGAAGAACACGACCATGATCAATGGCTCGTGTTTGACGAACGGAATCAAGGTTGGCTGCAGTCAGAGTGATAACATCCGAAGCCTCGGCGGCGGAAAGAAAAAGCAAAAAGCGCGCCGAGAGGGACAAAAGGACTGAATCGCATGGTGTAGGTGTTGAAAGCAGAGGACAAAGGTAGACCTCCGTATCCCCATAGGTATGTATGTCGATGTCTGTCCAGCAGATCGATACGCCAGTGAGTGGTCCTTGGAATGGCGCAGCTGAGATATGACTGCAGTTTATGTGAGTATGTATGCGTGTATGTCACCTTTAACGCGCCCACATACCTCAGCACCATATCGTTATCTATCCAAGGCCTGCAGGCTTCGGGTGTCAGAGTATGATAGCTTCATCTCGAACATCATCCGCCACGGCGTAGGGACTCGGGGCAAAGTCGGTAAGCGCCCGGTCTGTTGTCTGAACACGATTCTGAGCGCCGTCAATCTCAATTTGACGTACCAGTAGTGAGTGCCGCGACGGTCGCTCGGCATCGCGGAAGCGCACTGATGCTAAGATTGTCGAAACACATCGACGCAACTCGGCATCAAGCCACCCAATTCAACGGAAGATGCTGAGACGGTGAAGAGCCTGTGGCCGGCAAGGTAGCATGGTTGACTATCGGATCAAACATTCCGCCTTTCCTGTCTGCGAGACGCTAGGACTTATCGTAAGAAGCAAGGGTAAACCAGTGAGCTATGCTCGTGGTCAAATGAACACTTCGGCGCAGAGAATGAGATGCAGGAAACAGCGCTGCACGGTAAAAGCCAATAACGGCTGTTATGTCATTCTCTGGTAGTGCTCTCAACCAACCTGCATGTATGCGTGCTACAACACTACCGTCGCCCGCTTCCGCCGTTCACTGTCGAACACATAACAGCCTCGCAGGACTTGTTGCTCGAGCTACTGGAGGAAACACGCGAACTGTCGACGCACGTCAATCAAGAGAGCAACCAAGACTGTCTTTGAGCATCGGTACTCCGAATAGTTCAGCCAGTAGAATCGGCCCTGCGAGAGGATGAACGCTGCAAGATACGACGACGCGAACGCAATTGGCTCGTTAAGAATCAGGTGTAAGTTTGGCACAGCCACAAACGCGTCGCCGTCGTGCAGCGTCGTGCTCGCTGCCCAGATGCAGTGTCCGAAGCAAACCCAAATGATACGTGTGAAGACCACCCGCACTCGCCGCCCTCGAGCCTGCCCGATGCTCATTTTAATGCGAGTACGCGCTCCAAGGCTCGGGCACAGTGCGCACGATCGGGATTGGGGGTGAACGAGACGTAATACGAGGCGCGCGATACAGAAGCTCCCGAATTGTACTGTCGCGAACGCGAGACGGACACGGTGCGAGCACTCACTCGCCAGTCCACTCGCATGTCATCCAGCATGCATGCTTTCTCCGCGCCCTCACTCACACGAAGCACTGCACGCCCCTGGAGGCGCCCTTCAATTTTGCGCGGCTGCATGACTTCACGCCGTTCTCGGGGACTATCAGCGTGCAGTAGATTCTGGAGGACGTCGCCGCGGGGAGATCGACTGGGCCATAAGGAAGGTCGTGATTTGCAGGACGGCGTGTGGCTAATAAAAGGGAGCTCGGTGGGAGCTCAGGGAGTCGTGTATACGGCGGTCGATGCGAGACGACTCGGGACTCGATCCATTGGTAGGTCAGCATGACTGGAGGAGGAGGAGGAGGAGGAGGAGGAGATTTACGTGAAGGACTGCGGAACGACCGCATAAGACCATACAACGGTCCTTTCCCACACTCAGAAACTACACTGATGTGCCTTCTTACTGTAGATCGCGTCATGGTCTCCTACTACCACGACGACACTGTGAACGATGGCCCTCTCCTCCCCGTCGAGCTGTGTGAACATATTCTCGACTTCGTCTGGCCCGATCGCATAACCCTTCTCTCCTGTGCACTCGTTTGTCGAGCGTGGCTCCCGCGCGGTCGCCTCAATCTGCTCCACCAAGTCCGCCTTCGCGACAGGACGCAGGCATGGTCCCTCTCCAGTTTCCTCTCTCGACACGCCGTCTGCTGCTCATCCGTACGGGTGCTTCAGATATCGCCCCGCTACTCAGGGTGGACCCTCACGCGCGCCTTCCCGCTCCTTTTTGTTGGCAAACTCTCGCACGTCGAGCACATCCGCCTCGAGAACCGCTGTGGCTTCAACTTCTTCGCCCAGCCGCGGTCTCTGACCGCGCTCGGTCAGTTTGTTTCCGTGAGGAAGTTGGAAATCAGAGGCTATATGCTCCCGTCGCTGCATTCGTTTGGCCGCCTCATAACGGCCCTACCCAACATAACCACTCTGATTTGCCGGACCATCCGGTGGTCCACGGTGGATTACTCGCCCGAGTCCTTCAGGCCTGTCTCCGCACGCCTAAAGCTCACCACCATGGCCATGTCGGACATTAGATGGTATGATGAGTTGGTCGACATGCTCGCTGACATCGTCGATCTGAGGTCCTTGCCCACCCTGAACATTCAATCCGTCCAGATGCAGGAGCTACAGCCAGTGAACAGACTAATCGATGCTGTTGGTTCCGCGCTCCGGCATCTCGTCCTAAGCCCCAGTCCTACGTCTTGGCCGGCCAGGAATGCCAGTGCGTACACAATATATTCTGGGTCTCATTCACCGTTGATCTCCGGGACAAAGGTGCATTTCCTACACTCACCAGTAACGTCAATCTACGAACTCTCCGTCTGCATTTCCACGACCGAGGCGAATGGATCGTCCCCATGCTCTCCGAGCTCGCGTCTGAACCGCGGCCTTTCTTGGCACTGAGGATCTCGAACCAGGAGATCTTGGACGAAGAGAGTCTGCGTCTACTGCGACTAGATCGTCTTGCCGAGATCGTCGCGCAGCATCGTTTGAACCCCAGGGAACTCGTCTTCTGTCACAAGCGGTCCATATTTGGCGTAGACGAGTATCATGCAGAAGTGCGACGGTGCTTACCAGACGCGGCAGCCCGTGGACTTCTGCGCATCGAACCGAGTGAGTTTGTCTGCATTGTACGACCTCATGTACGTGAGTCGACTCACTCCCGCGATAGGTGATGCTCCTTGGTGGGAGACCTGGGCTTGATCCTTGACCACGTACTGTCGAGCACTGAGGTGTAACAAGGTCGGGCAGACTCGCCAGCAAGTAGGCCGTACACGTGTTGGCACAGCGCGAGTAAGCGCGTGGATGGTTTGTAGAATACAATGATGAAGCGTCGACATCAGTCGACCAATTCTTCGACACATCCCCTGGCGACCTCCACATACAGGCACAATCACACGACCGCTACGCGTTGCACGAGAGAACTCTCCCGTCGACGACGCACCAGTCGAATGGATGTCCTAACCCTCGCTAGGTGGTGCGAGAAGCCAACGGGCTCGCGACCCGCCCATGAGCTGCTACCGCGCGTGTGAGCACCTCACGACCATTACACGTTGAGGGGTTCGTCGAAAGGATCCTGGATGTCTTCGGTGCCAGTCCATCCTTGATGGATACCGGTGATTGAAGCATCCGCAGGGATCCTCTACATCATCCCTAAGTTAGCATGGCCACGGCGAGCTCCAACGGAGCTCAGCGTGTTCTGAAACAGCCCGCGTCGAGTCGCGTCCGCTAGACACCACTGTCGGCTCGCGTACAACTGGTGCAGTGAAACCATGCGACCATGCCCGCGTCTACAGCAACTGCACGTCAGTCTCGCGATAGCCAGACGGCGACGGGGGACTTACGACCAGGCGAGTGCTGCAGTACCTGTGCCCTCTCGCGCAGTGATACGAGGCCATCGGCCTACCTGAGATCGAAATCAGGCTGGACCGACGCTCATCGAAGCGCAGGTGCGGGCGTGAGTCCCGGGCTACCACTTGCGCTCCGATGCACCGTATGCGTTAGTCCTCGTCTTGCGCCATGGCGAGTTTTGGTGTGCAGAAGCAGGGATTGCAGTCCGCATTATCGCAAGAAGACTTTGCGATGTCCTAGATCTGCCGCTCAGGGCTGTATCCTGTCGGCGGACATCAGCAGACCGAGCAATGCGAATGCGAATGCAGTAACTACCTGGTCTCCGCCGACTCGGGGGCATAGCTCCGGGAAAGGCATTCTGCTGGCCGACATCCAATCGCCGGTATGTTCGGCCTTGGCGCAGTGCGTAAACGTGGCCTAGAGCCGGTAGCCGAAGTGGGGAGCGGAATCCAACCCGCTGCAAATCTGAAGCAACGTCCAGTTGAGGTCCGCGGTTAGCTCACTGATGATCTCCGCGATCGTGCGCGAGTGCTCCCACCTTACTGCGCCGGCATGGAAGAGTGGCTACACCCGTGTCTTCGATGTTCGAGGTCTTCTGTATCCTCGTCTGAGTCGAGATGTGGCTTCGAAATGACTCGGACCCCCCAGGGTATCTCGCGCGGATGGCAGGTTCGTCGTTACAGTGTACGAGTGCACGCGACATGGATGTGCCGACGGCCAGGGTATGCGTTCGAAGGGCACACCTGTACTGCGGTCCGCAGAAGAGTTGTCGGTCCATGACGAGCACTCTCCGCTGCGATAAGTGGCGATGGGGTATAAGGTCAGCCACAGCCCACAGCTGTCTTTGGGCGAAGAAGGACGGCGTCTGCCGACTTCATCGCAAGCTCTACAGCGGCCTGCTGCGAGACCTGTCAGAGACAAGCGAGGGAGTGATGTTCGTATGACCCACCTGTCCGGAACGTGTACCGGAGCCCTGGTTTTGGCCATTCGCCGATCCACCACCAGGGGGACGACGAGCATTGGTCGGGAGACTTCGCCACTGACTCTTTTGTTTTCTTAGGCACCCCTTTTCGTCAAGGGAGTAAGGGTGCGCATCGACTATATCGTATTCAGTCGGTTGTTAGTGACGAGGTTACGACCACGACCGACAAAAACAGACACTTTGTTCTGCGAGCGTGTTGATTATCTCTTTGACCGTCGTCATGCCGATCGCTCTCGAATCCATGCTGTAGTCGGCAAGTTGAGGGGTCTGGATGCGACGGGATGACTGGGGGCGGCAGAGAGGGTACACAGGAGCATCTGGATAATCGAGCATTCAATAATGAGACGCAAAGCACCCGATTTCCGAACACTCACCATGACTGATAGACGATGCAAATGAGCCATAGAGGTAGGCCTCGGGCGACGATCGGGCCAGGTAAGAAATCCCGCGTGTCAGTGAACGCGGACTGCCGGTGCTTGTACCATAGGTCATTCAAGGTAAAAGAGCCGTCCTACGGGTTGCCGCGTCCACCTTTGGGCCGCCCGAGTCCTTGAGGCCCTCACTACCAGCTTGCAGTGAGTGCAAGTTAGCATGTGAGTAACGGATGTCTAGTCAGTCAGTACTCACTGAAGACGTCCCTGAATATCCCGCCCACGCCCGCTGAGATATAATGGTCCCATGCATGTTGTTCCTCAAGATTGAACGAGACCCCGCGAAGCATCAGCGCCGCTCCAGGGTTGGCCCGAGTCCCTAATGCGATCACCAGTGCGTCAGTACATGGTCAAACGGGGATGTAGGGTACTCACGGGTGTACGAAACGTGGCTCCGCGCAAGTCTCAGACAGTCTTTCAGGTCTCCTCAGGCTCCCCGTCGCTCGCCGGTGTCATCAACGCCTCCTAGACGGGATGATTGCGCAAAAAATTGCAGCCTCTTGGGAGATACGGTGCCGGGCTCAGTTTGCTCCGCGAGCGGGCCTTTCTTTCAAGACAGGTTGCCTGAGGAGCTTCCATCACCGCCTCCTTGTGTCGACGGCCGGTGAGCCCGTCGAGGGATTGAGCGTTGGCGTATGTGGCGGTTAGGAGGAATGGTATCGCGCGCAGACAGCGCCACGACGCAGAAGCAAGAGGAGGAGGCTCCGTCAATAGACGACAGAGCAAGTGAGGCGACATGTTGGGTGGCTCAAGAGTGGGGAGGCGGCTTTGATGAGAGGAAATGGAGAGCGGTGGAGGGGGTATTTATACCTGAAGTAGGAACACGCAAGTTAACTAGAGACAAAGGTCTCTAATGGAGGAAGTGGACATCGTCAAAACAATGCATGGTACGTACAAGTCATTATCTGGCGAGGTCGCATGTCGCGATCGACTTCATGCATTATTGCTGTGACACTGGATGTCTTTCAGTAGACATTGGTCGACGAGAATGCTCACCATTGGCCACGTAGCCGCGGCGTTACTCGCGTACTTATTGAAGCGCATTGTCTGCCGTGGTCCGGGTGAGCGATAGGGTCAGTCAGGATGTCGTCGCAACAGTGTCCGTGCCAACTTGAATGAGCGGCGCGTCGTTGGTGACTTTTCATCCTGTCAGGAAACGCATACAGAGGTGACATAACGGCGATGAAAAGTTTATAAGAGGTCTCAGCGAAATATGCACCAGTACTTGCACAAGTTGAGTGACTTGGAAGAGAAGGTCGACTTTGCGGGCGTCAGCCAGATTGCTGCCCGATGTTCCCGCCACAGACGCGTCGTCCTCCATCGCCGCTCACAAGTGCTTACGCGTCGACGAGCACGAGCAGCCAGCTCATCACTACCATTCACGGGTCCTCAACCATTCAACACAGCTGGAGCGCACCTCGCGGTTCACATGCCTATCGTGGGAGGACTCTCTTGTAGGGACCATGCAAGTCCGAGTCTGAAGACCGTTTGCAAGACCGAACGCCGTGAGTCAACGAGGGAGGCCTTTTATCATCTGCCGTAGTCCCGCTCAGTACCATTCTGAAGACTGGAGCTGCAAGACATGCCCCATCAGTACATACCCAATGATTTCTCCACGCCGGTTGGGCCTTTCAGATCGTGTGAGTACGTCTAGCCTTTTCGTGATGAGACTGCAGAAGAAACTCACCTGTCTTGTTCGCGTCTTGAATTTCTTGCCAATCCTTTGCAGAGGGAACGTTCGTATTTGAGACGAAGGCGGAGGAAAGAGCTACTCACTCGGGGTTTGCTGATGCTGACAATGCCCCCTTCGCAGTCTGACTACCAAGCCCAATCGCCAGCCTCGCTGCGCGTGGCTGGCTTTCTCCGCGTTGCATATCAAAGATCTGGTGGTGAGTGCTGGTAGTGGACTCCATGCAGTTTCGACGGGCCGTGTACGTGCACGACGCAGCTCTAGTGGTTTACATCGCGTGAGTATGGTGCTGAGAGAAGACGGACGAGACTGCATACTCACATACACATCGTGCCAGTAACGCCTCCGCTGTCTTGTGGCGTCAGAAACCCCTGTGACCAGATCAGATCGTCGTCGCTGCGGTAGTCGCGGGTAGTGCTCCGTGGAGTGGTTAGGAAGATTGGTGCCGTGCGGGACAAAAGCCTATGGGCATTCGGGTAGTCGGCGAAGGACGTGCTGCCAACGTGCTGCCGCATGATTTGTATCGACGCAATGGGGGTACGATCGATCCACAACATCGAGCTATCGCGTGTAGCGTTTCTGTCTTTGTGCGCGGGAGGTGTTCAGGGTCAAGGCTACATAGCAACGGAGGCCACAGGTAGTCGTATTCAGGTACGTCATATGTCAAAGCGTTTGCTATTCTCATCTCGTGGTTCCTAGAAAGCGCATAGCATGGATGTTCCGTCAGCCTTTCGAGTTGGAATACAACATCGTGAATTGCGAAAAGCTTACGCACTGTCGACGGTCCATGTTGGGGCGTCCGGCTCTTCGCTCTTCAATTGAGATGAGGACGACCGATCAAAGCACCAGACTCATGATGCTCAGGAACGTGTTAGAAGTGGCCCATCTAGATCGCCGTACCACAAAGCCACATACATAGTCGTCGCCCACGCGACGCCGCCTCAGGAACAATAGACTACGCGATCAGCACCAGGTATAAATACCCTGCGCTGCCTCGGTTAGTCCGTCAAACTCAGCGACACCCTCCGATGCATCCCTTCAGACTAGGACTACTGCCCCGCTCCTTCGCACCGTTACCATTCCTCCTAAACCAGCCATCTACCTCCCACTGACAGGAAAACGACTGGTCAGCGGTGCTAGCTGACAGGTGTTCAGGTCGCCAACACCTCCCCGCACTCGTGAGCCTATCTTGGGTCCTGACTTGCACGGCCTCGGGCCTAACGTCTCCTCCCACCTGTAGCTTGGCATACTGACTGGATCGACTGCCCATAGTCCACGCAGCTACGATGCAACCGCCCTGCGCCGCGTTGCAAAGTCCGCCAGGTGTCTGGCCAAGGAGGATCGGCGAGTTGGAACGAACCCACCCCGCCCGGCCACCTTCCGCGCGGCGACGCCTCCTACGCCTCATGAGACCCAGGTCGTCCGGGTCAACGGATATACAAGGGAACGTGCATCGATACAATCCAGCCTCCTCGCGCCAACGAGGACGTCTTCGATGGATGTGGCCGTCGCGCCTTAGTCCGGGGATAGGCCCCCGGTTCTCACTCACCGACGTGACGCCACGCTCTCGCCAACAGCCGGCGCGACCTGGCGCGACAGGCCGTTGGACCGACTGTATACGAAGATGCAGGCCCGGTTCCCGTCTCTCTGCCTCCGATGTATAATCCTGAGTGGAACAGCAGCTCTGCGAGGGACTCGTGAATAACGCGCCAGCATGGCGACCGGACATATGCCTGAGAGCCACCAGTACACGCTGCAAGACTACATCCATCAGTGAGTTCCGTTACATGCATGAAACTCAAGGCTCGCTGACAGAGCAACGTCCGGAAAGGCCTCGAACGAGTCGCCAAAACCGGCTCCACAGTCGCGGTGGTGCGAGATGGCGTAGTGCGAACTGCGCGATCTCTGCGACGACAACGAGGGTCATCCTTCGCTGGAACACTGCTGAAGCAAGACAGTCGTCTTGCTCATGGGTGCGCTGCCAGCCGAGGGTGGTCCACGCGTTGTTGTGACCGCGCAAGTCATCGAATTCAACGATGTCTTCAGTGTGGGATGGCGATCAAGCACTGAACGACGCCATTGACTGGGACGTGTATTCTCTCGAGCAAGTGCGTACAACATAAGCATTGCATACTTATAAGAGGTACTAGGCTGCTTCGATTTGCGCGTAGTACTGGAAGCCATGAGGACAGTTACGCGAAGGGAGCACAGCTAGTACCTTGCGCACTGTCTTGTACGAAGGACCAGTTGAGTCACCGCCCAATTCTTCACTATGTCACACGTCGGCTGAGTCGCATCGTAGGCAACTTGAAGTAGCCTTGGGACTCGAGAAATCTGCGTTGGCACGTACCTGTGGATCTCGCCGACTGAATACCAGACGGCGGGTCGAACCGCCACACAGATCTGGGCAGCCACAGACAGGCATTGCCCCAGTAATACTAGACGAGGGCCTTTGCGCTACATGGAGAAAAGTTCGGAGACAGCAAGGCATCGAAGCATGTTTACATCAAGGCATTTCGTCGCCAGGATGCTGTACTCTCAGCAACAAGGGGTACGCAAGTACAAGGACGGTCCGGCTGACAGCAGCAGTGTATTTGTGCCACCCAACGAATTCGAAACAGGCGGCTACGTACACGGTACCTGCTGGAAGAGTACAGCAACAAGCTTCCGTGTGCCTTGTATTCTCAGTTACGTAGTCTACCCTTCTGATAAGTGGTCAACCGTTGAACAACGGGCACTGCAGTGCACTGCTCCATGGGAGACGCGTATCGGGAAACCGCCCGCGCGTCACATCCGACATAAGTATGGAGGTTCGCATTCAGCTGCCGAGACATTACAACGCAACTTTCTTCGCCATCCACGACGCCGACCCTAGACCGGCCGCTGCATAGCAAGTCATGGCCGAGGTCAACCAGCACCCCGATGTCGTCGCACCGCCAGACTACACCATAGGTACGAGGATCATATAACACGCACTATTGTCTGACAACTTCAATCCCAGTCGAAGTTAACATACCAGATGGGCCATACGCAACCCTATCATTCGACCGCATCGAGACGGATCCAATGAACGGGGCCCGCTCATGCCCGATCCACTCAGCCCACTCAGCAGACCCGTTCAACGACGCCTGCTCATGCCCGCGTCGCGGAACATACCACGTCCAGGACCCATTCCGGGAGTCCGACTCGGACAGTGGAGAGGAAACACCCGCGACGGAGTCCTGTCAGCGCGAGCCCGTCGCAGCTAGACTCTTGGACCTCCATGCTCGCATTATCCACGGCGCCTTCTCCGGACTTCTATACCTGATACTGTGCGTTGCGTATACGTCGATGACTACCTTCATCGGCTGGAGGACCATGACCGTCATGGTCGAGCCACGAGTCCTCCGCGTGCGTCTTGGAGATCTTCTCCGCGGCGACAGCCGGCACCATCATCCTCGCGGTCATGTCACTCTACGTCTGGATGATCGCAAGGCTACTCTTGAAGGAGATTCAGAAACTGCTGGATCATGGAATCGATCCTTTTGCAAGAAAGGCGCCGAGGTGGTGGGGGAGCCGCGGACCGGGACACTCCTTCCTGCGCCGCCTCAGCGGATCCAGCGTCATGATTGGGCGCAATACCCCGCGCGTCCAGACTACATGGCGTTGGTATTGTTGCTGAGCGGCTTGTGTGGTCCCGCATTGGGCCTGTCGCTGCCGTTCGAGGGACGGAACGCGCCAGGGGATGCCGACTACGAAGGACGCGCTGGCGTGGGCGCATTCGGAACGGCGATCAGTCTCGCGCTGTTCGTTATGGTAGCCATTATGGTGACGGCTCTGAGCGTCCTTAGGCAGAAGATACGGTACCGGGTGTAGGGAGATGTTCCTAGGAGGTAGTGGGAGTCTGCAGGTAGGTTTGTGACGGACGTTTGGTTGAATGTGGGCCTGGAATGACAGAAAGCAGCGACGGACTTACGTTTCGGAATACATGTTGTCAACATTCGCGTACTCAAGGCATCAGTGTTGGTGAAGCCCTCTGCGCGACTGGCCTCCAGGTCGTCGAACACGCCAGTGTTCGCCATATCCACTGTAAACCCGCATAGCCTCTAAGCCACGAGTCGGAAGCCTCCCAGTATCAGTGCCGGCCTAGTAAGGAGACAAGAATTCAATTTGGCAGAGTGGCCGGTATGTTGTTGGCTCAATTGAATCGGCGGCGGCGAACTTCATGCTGGTAGCGTGACGGTATGTAAGTAGGGGGACCGGGGACGAATGCTCGAATCGGGTTTGGGATCTGGCCGCCACAAGCGCGTCCAGTGACGGTCCCGAGCCAGACTAAGCTTGGACACGACGGCAGCCCACACGGCCGCACGCTGCACATCGTACGCACATTTCACGCGTGGCACGGGCCCACTTCTATCGCTGCGCTAGACTGTCTCACACTGACAAGAATCCTCGTTCAATTGGCGCGACGTCTCAGAGCGAATCGGAAGTTTGGAGGTGACTACCTTCAAGTTGACCTTGAAGTGAGTACATACCTGCTGTTCAATACCATAACTCCACAACAAAGCCTTGTATCACGGTGTAGGTGATCAGATTTCCAAGTGACGGCGCACGAGACAATAAGTGGTCGCGAGGGACACAGATGAGTACAAGCACTGACGCTGAGGCTCAGTCAAGGATGACAGCTTCGACTCGGGCGGTCACTGAGCGCTACGAGCTCATCAAAGTTATGTAACTGCGAACCCGACCATTTCGGTGCGTCTTCTCTCCTCGTTGACGCATCTCCAGAAGGGTGACTTGGACTCTTCTAGAGACCCCAGGTACAATGCGATATACAAGAGTAAGGTGGGGACTCGTGGCTG